CATACCAGAGATAAGTGTCAATCGAAAGGAGTGCGTGAATCATAGTGAATGAATATTTATCAGCTTTTTAACTAAACTAAATCTTACATAATACATCTTTAATAATATGATCATGACTAAAACGTGATTTTTCGTACAATCCGATACAACATGAAAGATCATTTCGAATATAAATTCTGGCACATGCAATCTTTATAAGCAGTCTTAACTGGCTGTTTGAAATGAAATCAAGAAATACCTAAGTGATCAAAGTAAACGTATTTACAAAAATTAAAAAAATAGATCTCTTCATTATTCGTTAAGACAGCTCATATGCACATTATCAATCACTTAGCGATTGGTGCTCATTGATAAGTGATAAACAATCAGTAATAGGTCACAAATCAATCATAAGTAATCAATAATCGATTGTTATTCAATGATCAATGATGATTTAATTCACTCATTGATTGTTCGGGTATCAGTATATATTAGGTGTGATAGCATAATGTTTTATTTCGTATCTTGTCTTCAGTCTCCTGCTTGTGTAATACATTTTTCTCGTTAAAACATGGATGTTGAAGTAAGAATATTTATTGTTTTGTTATAAGTATATTAATTTGGTTTTAATTACACTGACTTTGTAAGTGTGTTTATTTTCGTTAACGACACAATCATGTTTTCCTTCTATTTCAGTTTAAGCTTCGAAAACCAGAAGTTCCTCGCCGTAGTTTATCTTTGAACATGCGGAGATGCATGGAAGAAAGTGAAATGAAGTCGTCGCCTACTTTATTGCGTAAATCAAACTGCCTAGTCCCAAATCGATTAACAAAAGATAATAGACTAGTGCATGTTGTAGAAGAAGAAATGCAGGATATAGATGTTGATCGTATTAAATTAGCCGTAGAAAGATTATCAGACAGTGGAGAATTGATAGCAGACCATACACTCTTCCTGCTATATGTGGTAAACATAAAGATCTCAAATCAATCACACCTCAAACAGTAAGTGATTAAAACTAATTGACCAAGTTATCTTGACGTCTGTCTCAATAAACCTTTATCTTCAGGAAATGGTTGAAGAATAGTAAAGATGTTGTTGTTTCCGAAGTGACAAAAACACTTCATTTCGTAAACTTTACAATATGTGTATCCAATATTCATTTACTTTATTTTACAGCTTACAGATCTATTCGGCGGAGAGTATAACCAATTTCATAATAGCTTCACAATCATCGACTGTAGATATCCATATGAATATAACGGAGGACACATTCAAGGCGCAGTTAATATTTATACCAAACAGTCTATTGATGTATTATTACAACGATCAGAAACAGGCAGACCCCATATTCTTATCTTCCATTGTGAATTTTCATCCCAGAGGGCCCCTACATTGTAAGTAGATTATAAACCCAATGTTCTGTTCGAAATCATTGGAATTTCTATATAAAACACAGAATAATTCTTTCAATTTGAAATATCTCAACAAAGCTAGGCCTTGCATTGATAAACCTGCTAAATTGTGAAATAAACTGTTTCTTTCAGATTACGCTACATGAGATCACAAGATCGTGTGTTAAACTCTCAAAACTATCCAAGATTATACTACCCAGAAGTCTATATTCTACATGGAGGCTACAAAGCCTTCTACGAACATAATCAGGTACATTTTTAACAATTCAATTATCTGCTTAAATTGACGTAACTCAAATTAAGGAGAATTTTCAATTTAGATAAATACTAATTCCTTCAATATTTATCATCTCGATGTCATTCTATGGTGTAAGATATTTAGCGATCTGAGAGAGTATATGTCTACCTACATTTAAAGCAAATGCTAAACGGCTCTGAAAACGGAAATACGCTGCTTAATAATATCAATGAGCTTTTTTCAAGTTCCTTTTTTTTTACAATCTTCACAATTATATATTTTAGGATTTGTGCCATCCACCTAGTTATGTTCCGATGCTACATGAAGATTACAAATCAGAATTACATCATATTCGCACCGTAACCAAATCACAGACGGAACGAGAGAAAACTAGAGGAAAAAGTAAAACAATGTCACGTGTTGTTCGGTTTTAAACTGTTATTGTTATTTATATAAATTTGTTATGTTTGAAATTGATTTTACTGTATATATTGTTGTTCTGTTGTAATTTATTTTGTAAATACGAATCAAACAAAACTCTTGAATAGTAATAGATCAGGTGACATGTATTCTGTGTTTTCCATTAACAGGTATCTATTCAGATACGCCCTGTGATTTGGAAAATAATTTCAAAATCTCTCACCTGTTAAGATATTAAAAGAATTGAACGGACCGGTGGGTGGCAAGCTACACAATATACAAGCCAAATACCAAGACCTCTCCGAGTTCAGTTTGTTGGCTAATCAAAGAAAAATTCATTGGTCAAAAATGCGCGCATTGTTTCTGCCAATATACGTGAAAATTGTTATGAAGAAATATTATCTTACCTGCCAACGCAAGCATAATGTCAACTGTACGGAAACTAATACTCAAATGAGATGTATCATTAAAAGCGCGGACGTGATAGAAAGACAATAGGACAGACAATGACATAACGTCATGTTCAATATAATTTGATATGATTATTTCCACAAATTACTCTTTTTTTTTCTATAGATACAATATCCTAATGTAATTATATTTTGGGGACAGCTACGATATATTAAATAATGCATTGGGTTATTAAAACAGCTGGTAGAAAGTTATTATAGAAGACACTCTAAAAGTGGACGCAGGAGAACCACTAGGCCGTATTCTCGGGATGAAAATCTTGTCACCTTCGCTCCCGCTAAACCGGTATACAAATCGGACTATCAATAATCGTGCAATCAATATGTCAACAAAGTTCTCCAATAAAATCTGCCAATTTAATAGTTCAAGCTCGAAATAGGCTATAAATCGATGACTTATTTCTTTATAGTGCGGAGCCATATTTGCGTAGATGTGAGTTGGATCCTGCGCATCTATTTAAAATTTGGCCAATCAGCGGTCTCGCTTGCGGGGTTGCGGTAAAAAATTCTGGGGTCAAGTGCCAGGTTAGAGCATATGTAAACAAAGCCATGCGAACGATTTACCTTGCAAATCGCTCGCGGTTGGGACGAACAGAGATCAAATGAACCCCAAAAACGTCCCATCCGTGTAGAGAAGTGGTGTATGAGAGCCACAAAAGGTATTTTGATCACACTGACATAAAATGTGGCAGTCAGTCAGGTTTTTTCGACACTGATTAAGGATATTGGACCGGTCTATTTCACTAGAAAAATGCCTTAATATCAAGGGAGATTACAGAGAATGCAACAAGGTCACTGCTTCTATAAGTGTAATTCTAATAAAATCATTCATTTTACATAACAAAATACTTAAAACCTGTCTAGCCTGCTGTCTTGATAATGATCATGGATAGGCTAGTGTATAGCTAAGATTAAGAATGAAAAAACATATTTTGAAATAAAGGTTGAAAACTTAGAAAGTTGCAGAAATATTAAGAAGAAATGCTAAAATAATTTGAACTAGCTCAGAATTTTGCATCTACAATGTATAAGCTTACAATAGATATATGAATTCAAAATGGGTTTTGTCTGCAATTGCGAATGAACCAGATGCCCCCCCCCCCCCATCAATATGGGGCTCACCTACGACATAGTTTACATGTAATCATCGATAAAAGTGCCAAACACACTTTCAATGTTGGAATCTTGCTTCTGATTAATAAATATTCTGATTTTTTTAAACAATTATAACAGATACTGTACATGTAGTCGATCAAATCCAAAACTAATTACCTTTGATTTGAAAAACATTTTTGATCACCTAAGATAAATAAAATACAATTTAATGGAGGATTTACACTAAGAGTAAGACACTAACTCATTTAGAAGTTAGAATAAGGCTACCGGTATTTGTTTCACTGGACTTATCAAAACAGCAAAAGTGTTATTGGTGCTTTAAATAAAATAATAAAAATGCTGTTTTTATTTCGCACTGGACTAAATTGTCCCTCTTTTGTATGGCCCCCGCTCGAACATACTTGGATTTTTTCTTGCAAATTATACAGCTCTCTGATAAAACTGACTTCTTTAACTCTGATGAAGTAGTAACAAGTACTGCACCATGATGTGATTCCTTTGGTGATATTAATGAAGGAGTAGGGGTGAATGAGACACACTTTTAGTTTTTAAATTTGTTGAAGTACTAGGCCTAGTAGTAGGGGTTATGGACATAAAGGCCCTAAACCAAAATGGCTCAAGTATTTGGTCATAACGGTCAAACATTTTGGTCAAAACTACATAACGGTCAAAACATTAGGGTCATAATGGCCAAAAAGAACATTTGAATTTTGATATATTATGTATCAAATGATATTTATTAATATAAATATTGCATAATGTAAATACCAATATTTCTTAATAGATAATATTTTCATATACATTTCTTTAATACATAAATTTAAAAACACTGTAGACATTTAATACTTAATACACTGTATAACTATAACATACATAATTTACAAAGACATCTATTTAATATGGAGGGTGGGTGGCGAATGGTTTAACATGTACACATGAAATCATAAGGTCTGTCATTGCGTCAAGGACTTAATTTCAATTCTCTGCTTGTACGTGACAAGGACTATGGTCACTTGTTCAACCTTGTGAGTTTTCTCCGAGTCCCCAAGTTTTACTTCCTCTGCTACAGACCCTTACATGCAAGCAAATAATTTAAATAAAAAGGAACCATGTCAACTGGACATTAATGTTCAGCTCATGTTACTTTATCAGTGGGGTGTGAAAGACTTAATTAGGGATTATCAAAAACTTTGATTAATTAGTATAATTCCCCTCTTTCTTTTGAATCACAGCATGCAATGTTCTGGGTTGACTTGGATGGTTATATTCAATTCTTTCATTCACAAATTTTTCTGGACTTATGGTCTGTAGCCTATATATAATGCACCTTTATTTATTACATTTATTTATTACTTCTACTAGTTGGAATAGAAGTGGTCATATCTTGTTGAAGGTTTGGTGAAACCGTGTTTAAAATATCATGTTATGAGTGAATTGCTATTTTTGTCGAATGATTAATATACTAATAGTAAGTTGTTAAATAATGTTTGGTAAAATATATTATGACCACATCACAGTAATACTAATAGTCTGAATGTATGTCGTGACAGTTTAGTTTCGGTTGGACTGAATGTAGACGCTGCCTTATCACTGAGTCACTCTCTTTCTTTCTCGCATCATTTAACTGTTTTGTTCTTAAAATATCTATAAAACGTTGGATGAAACCAAAACCACTGCCGATTGTATCTTCAATATAATATCCTTCGTAATAAAATATCCATTTGTATCGAAAAATGCTGCAATGGATTGGTCATTTCCATCCAATTGAAACCAGTCTATAGCTACCTCACGACATTTATCTCACCTTGTGTTTGTAAAGGGTTCTGCACTTCCCTTATTAACACTGTCTAAGTGAACAATACAAGTTAATTGAGCCTTTGTCGCCATTTAGTGTAGCTTCTACATGTATAACTGCAATGTGTTCCTCGTGAAGCACGCCATTTTGTGTTTACCAACAACGCACGCGAATGTAGACAATAACGTGATTGGTCGATTGTGGAAAAAACGATCACGTGACGCGGCGACAAACGCTGAATTCTGTCCAGTGACCTCGCGCACTATGAATTTTACTATCAATAAATAGTCCGGATTTCAACGAAGAATATCACCGAAGAACTATGGAATTTTTTGGGGAACATTACAACAAACGAATATCTCTATATGAACAATACACTGACAAAATTTCTTCTAGACTGAATTTGTAGGAACGAAAATGTTTTTGCAACGACAATTTGTGCCCATGGAATGCGGCCTACACGCCATGCACAAACAAACCCCTGAAGACAAAACCGCGACAAGACGCATAATATACATAGTCATTCAAGCAAATGAACCCAGTGCTAATCGCAGGCGTCCACTTTGCTGTACAGTCCCTGGCCTGTAATGATACAGATTCCCTTCGAAATGAAAGCAGACTTACACTATATAAGGGTGACAAACATCGAAAAACGGGGGAATATTTGCCAAACGTGTCCATCATTACTTTATCATAAGTAAAATATATTTATAGCAGAACGTCCGTGTTATACTAATTTTCTCAATTGCAATAGGCCTACTCTAGACTTCCGGTCGAAGGTACATCAAAATGTTTATGGTAAATACTAACCATATCAAATAATTAAACGCACCACGTGCAGAGCGAACAAGTGGAAAATGGCAAAATGTCTGCTAGGTAAATTAAGTATAGCCTGTCACATGGGAGGAAACTCTTTAAAGGATCTACAGGGCTAAGACTAGAAATTATATTCCCAGAGAGGAGAGTGTCAGAACTGCGAACAGACTTTGGAACCTCAACGAAGCCCCCAAAAATTTGAAAAGTAGACCTGGCAGTATTTCAGGCACTGAGCGTCGAGATAAATAGAGCTTACCAGATAGCGCCTGTCGACAAATCACTAGTTTATCATACCAGAGATAAGTGTCAATCGAAAGGAGTGCGTGAATCATAGTGAATGAATATTTATCAGCTTTTTAACTAAACTAAATCTTACATAATACATCTTTAATAATATGATCATGACTAAAACGTGATTTTTCGTACAATCCGATACAACATGAAAGATCATTTCGAATATAAATTCTGGCACATGCAATCTTTATAAGTAGTCTTAACTGGCTGTTTGAAATGAAATCAAGAAATACCTAAGTGATCAAAGTAAACGTATTTACAAAAACTAAAAAAATAGATCTCTTCATTATTCGTTAAGACAGTTCATATGCACATTATCAATCACTTAGCGATTGGTGCTCATTGATAAGTGATAAACAATCAGTAATAGGCCACAAATCAATCATAAGTAATCAATAATCGATTGTTATTCAATGATCAATGATGATTTAATTCACTCATTGATTGTTCGGGTATCAGTATATATTACGTGTGATACCATAATGTTTTATTTCGTATCTTGTCTTCGGTCTCCTGCTTGTGTAATACATTTTTCTCGTTAAAACATGGATGTTGAAGTAAGAATATTTATTGTTTTGTTATAAGTATATTAATTTGGTTTTAATTACACTGACTTTGTAAGTGTGTTTATTTTCGTTAACGACACAATCATGTTTTCCTTCTATTTCAGTTTAAGCTTCGAAAACCAGAAGGTCCTCGCCGTAGTTTATCTTTGAACATGCGGAGATGCATGGAAGAAAGTGAAATGAAGTCGTCGCCTACTTTAATGCGTAAATCAAACTGCCTAGTCCCAAATCGATTAACAAAAGATAATAGACCAGTGCATGTTGTAGAAGAAGAAATGCAGGATATAGATGTTGATCGTATTAAATTAGCCGTAGAAAGATTATCAGACAGTGGAGAATCGATAGCTGATTGTAGCAGACCATACACTCTTCCTGTTATATGTGGTAAACATAAAGATCTCAAATCAATCACACCTCAAACAGTAAGTGATTAAAACTAATTGACCAAGTTATCTTGACGTCTGTCTCAATAAACCTTTATCTTCAGGAAATGGTTGAAGAATAGTAAAGATGTTGTTGTTTCCGAAGTGACAAAAACACTTCATTTCGTAAACTTTACAATATGTGTATCCAATATTCATTTACTTTATTTTACAGCTTACAGATCTATTCGGCGGAGAGTATAACCAATTTCATAATAGTTTCACAATCATCGACTGTAGATATCCATATGAATATAACGGAGGACACATTCAAGGCGCAGTTAATATTTATACCAAACAGTCTATTGATGTATTATTACAACGATCAGAAAAAGGCAGACCCCAGATTCTTATCTTCCATTGTGAATTTTCATCCCAGAGGGCCCCTACATTGTAAGTATATATTATAAACCCAATGTTCTATTCAAAATCATTGGAATTTCTATATAATTCTTTTCAATTTGAATTATCTCAACAAAGCTAGGCCTTGCATTGATAAACCTGCTAAATTGTGAAATAAACTGTTTCTTTCAGATTACGCTACATGAGATCACAAGATCGTGTGTTAAACTCTCAAAACTATCCAAGATTATACTACCCAGAAGTCTATATTCTACACGGAGGCTACAAAGCCTTCTACGAACATAATCAGGTACATTTTTAACAATTCAATTATCTACTTAAATTGACGTAACTCAAATTAAGGAGAAGTTTCAATTTAGATAAATACTAATTCCTTCAATATTTATCATCTCGATGTCATTCTATGGTGTAAGATATTTAGCGATCTGAGAGAGTATATGTCTACCTACATTTAAAGCAAATGCTAAACGGCTCTGAAAACGGAAATACGCTGCTTAATAATATCGATGAGCTTTTTTCAAGTTCCTTTTTTTTACAATCTTCACAATTATATATTTTAGGATTTGTGCCATCCACCTAGTTATGTTCCGATGCTACATGAAGATTACAGATCAGAATTACATCATATTCGCACCGTAACCAAATCACAGACGGAACGAGAGAAAACAAGAGGAAAAAGTAAAACAATGTCACGTGTTGTTAGGTTTTAAACTGTTATTGTTATTTATATAAATTTGTTATGTTTGAAATTGATTTTACTGTATATATTGTTGTTCTGTTATAATTTATTTTGTAAATATGAATCAAACAAAACTCTTTAATAGTAATAAATCAGGTGAAATGTATTCTGTGTTTTCCATTTATTCGTGAACGCTGGATTGCTTCAGCATTAAGGAATCCGTATTATACAATGAAATCCACTGGAATATGAAAGTATTTGTTCTGGATCAATTATTTTGCTTTTCTATTAATTCACAACTTTCTTGCAAAGTGAAAACAAATACCCCCAGACTAGTTTGTCTTACAAAAGTTCACTTTTTGTAATCCCGCATGCTAATGGCATCGAATATATTTAGAAAAGTCGAAATTGTAGAGCGATAATTTCAAAATCTCTCATCTGTTAAGATATTAAAAGAATTGAACGGGTGGCAAGCTACACAATATACAAGCCAAATACCAAGACCTCTCCGAGTTCAGTTTGTTGGCTAATCAAAGAAAAATTCATTGGTCAAAAATTCGGCCATTATTTCTGCCAATATACGCGAAAATTGTTATGAAGAAATATTTTCTTACCTGCAAGACGCAAGCAGAATGTCAACTGTATAGAAACTAATACATGTACTTAAATGAGATGTATCATTAAAAGCGCGGACGTGATAGAAAGACAATAGGACAAACAATCTTGTCCAATATTTGTTGATATCATTATTTCCACAAATTACTCATTTTTTTTTTACTATAGATACAATATCCTAATGTAATTATATTTTGGGGACAGCCATGATATATTAAATAATGCATTGGGTTATTAAAACAGCTGGTAGGAATTTATTATAGAAGACACACTAAAAGTGGGCGCAGGAGAACCACACCATGTACAAACAAACCACTGAAGACAAAACTCCTCCAGAAATTTTTGAAAAAACAGACTGTCGGAAATACAGTCTGGCAGTATTTCAGGCATTAAGCGCATTTTGAAAAATAAACAGCCGGAAATGCAGTCGTACAGTATTCAGGCACCGATTGTCGAGATAAATAGAGTTGACCAGATACCGCCTGTCGCCTGCAGGGGCCTGTTTTACGAAATTTTAACTATGATAAAATCCAAATTTTAGCAATTTGATTGGATAATATTAGATTGATTTTAGTGCTTAGCCAATCAAAATTGAAGTATCTACTAAAATTTGGATTTTATCTTAGTTAAGATTTCGAGAAACAGGGCCCAGGTCTAGTTTATCCGACCAAAGTGTCAGATTTGCGTACAGACTTGCGAACCTCAACGAAGCCCCCGAAAATTTGAAAAGTAGACCTGGCAGTATTTCAGGCACTGAGATAAATAGAGCTTATCAGATAGCGCCTGTCGCCAAATCACTAGTTTATCATACCAGAGATAAGTGTCAATCGAAAGGAGTGCATGAATCAGTGAATGAATATCTATCAGCTTTTTAAACTAAACTAATTCTTAAATAATTCATCTTTAATAATATGATCATGACTATAAAAACGTGATTTTTCGTACAATCCGATATAACATGGAAGATCATCTCGAATATAAATTCTGTCACATGCAATCTTTATAAACAGTCTTAACTGTACGAAAGCCCAGAAGGCTCATTCCAAATTCCAAATTCCACGTGGCTAAGTGGGTAAGACGCTAGCCTTGAGGTCGGGTGTTCGATCCCTGCATTGGCCGAGAAAGTTCATCCAGATTTTCCGGCGTGGTTCCCCCTTGTCAGTGATGCAGGACGGAGGGCCTGACAAGGACAGCTGTCTAGTCCTTTGTATGAGACGAAAAATCGAGGTCCCGTGTATACATTGGAATGCACGTAAAAGATCCCTTGATAGTTGGAATTCGATATAAAAGTAGGCGATATTGCCGCTGCCCGGGCAAAATTTCCCTCATAGCACACTGTATGGCGTATGCCGGTCTTCATTAGCCCAGTATAGGAGCAGAACAGTAGGACGTTAAACCCAATTTCATTTCATTTCCAAACTTTTCACATCTGCCGAAGCAAACCCGAACTGGAATATTGTTATTATACTCTAACTGATTAGTCAAAAGCAAAAACCTGATCCGATTGGTCGGTTCAGATTTGGAATTTTGAATTAAGCATTTGGAATTTGGAATTTGGAATCTAGTAATTTGGAACGGGTATTTATCCGGCCCAGATAGGTAAACTAGAAGTAATTAGTTGTGTAAAATTACAATTTATATAAATTCTAATTTGTTTAATTGAGGGGGGCCGCCAATTTGCTATTTTATCGGTAAGACAAGAATTTGGAATTTGGAATTTCGCATATGGAATTAGGAATTTGGAATGAGCCTTCTGGGCTTTCGTATAACTGGCTGTTTGAAATGAAATCAAGAAATACCTGATAAGTGATCAAAGTAAACGTATTTACAAAAACTAAACAAATAAGTCTCTTCATTATTCGTTAAGACAGTTCATATGCACATTATCAATCACTTAGCGATTGGTGCTCATTGATAAGTGATAAACAATCAGAAATAGGTCACAAATCAATCATAAATAGGTCACAAATCAATCATAAATAGGTCACAAATCAATCATAAAGTAATCAATAATCAATTGTTTTTCAATGATCAATGATAATTTAATTCACTCATTGATTGTACGGGTATCAGTATATATTAGGTGTGATAGCATAATGTTTTATTTCGTATCTTGTCTTCAGTCTCCTGCTTGTGTAATACATTTTTCTCGTTAAAACATCGATGTTGAAGTAAGAATATTTATTGTTTTGTTATAAGTATATTAATTTGGTTTTAATTACACTGACTTTGTAAGTGTGTTTACTTTCGTTAACGACACACTCATGTTTTCCTTCTATTTCAGTTTAAGCTTCGAAAACCAGAAGGTCCTCGCCGTAGTTTATCTTTGAACATGCGAAGATGCATGGAAGAAAGTGAAATGAAGTCGTCGCCTACATTATTGCGTAAATCAAACTGCCTAGTCACAAATCGAATAACAAAAGAAAATAGACTAGTGCATGTTGTAGAAGAAGAAATGCAGGATAGAGATGTTGATCGTATTAAATTAGCCGTAGAAAGATTATCAGACAGTGGAAAATTGATAGCTGATTGTAGCAGACCATACACTCTTCCTGCTATATGTGGCAAACATAAAGATCTCAAATCAATCACACCTCAAACAGTAAGTGATTAAAACTGATTGACCAAGTTATCTCCACTTCTGTATAAGCCTTTATCTTCAGGAAATGGTTGAAGAATATTAAAGATGTTGTTTCCGAAGTGCCTAAAACACCTCATTCCGTAAACTTTACAATATGTGTATCCAATATTCATTTACTTTATTTTACAGCTTACAGATCTATTCTGCGGAGAGTATAACCAATTTCATACTAGCTTCACAATCATCGACTGTAGCACCCGATCCGCCTATTATTAGCCTGCTAGTAGTAGAAAGTTGTTAGTCATTTTTAGATGCTCGTAGCAGCGCTAAGGGTGCCTCTGCGCCTCTGGGGGTAAATTGTTAGCCGCTACAGTAACAACTAACAAGGGCAGCCTTTGTTATCTACTATTAGCAACCAACAAAGGCTGTAATAGTTAGTAGACCTATCCGCTATTAGCTTATTTATAAATCATTATTTTCTCGATCTCCGATAAATGGGAATAAAAGATAGAATTTGTATAGACTGCCTTCTTATGACGACCCGAACAATCTTCCAAGTTAGAACAAATCTTTCAAAAAACTTTGGCCTAAAATATATAGCCTACCGCCCGTCGATCCTCGCCACTGTATGTTACCGGGGGATCGAACCCGTAGCGTTGAACCTGGGTGTAGATTAGTCTATAGCGTAAAAGACTATGGAGTGCAGTAATTAATAAATTGTTTTAATAGCATTCGGTAATTGAACTGGAATATACAGGTCACACTAAAAGATTATATGCAACACAAATACCGTACTGCTTATTAGGCTGGAGGGGGGTCTGGAGTTTGCTCCCGGTGTGAATCCGTCGTGATTTTTTAGGCAAAGTTTACCCTTGTCAGTAGGACAGGGCGGAGTGCCTCAAGGAAAAGCTATATAGTCGTTCAGATGGGACAGAAAGGAGGTCCCGCGTACACGTAGAGGAATCCTTCAGTTTTGAATCGAAATAAGAGTACGCCGTACCCAGTACCGCCGAAGACCGGGACCCCCCCCCCTCACCCCAATAGCATACTGCATGCTGCATTGGGTCTATATGATGTTATTGTTAAATCCCATTTCATTTCTCCATGAACGGGAATCTTCGTTCCCTGCATTGGCCAAGAATTTCATCGGGTTTATTCGACATGGTTTCCCCTTAATTGTCAGTGGTGCAAGACGGAAGGCCTGACAAGAACAGTTGTCTAGTCGTTCGGATGCGACGAAAAAAAGAGGTCCCGTGTATACATTGGCATGCACGTTAAAGATCCCTTGGCAGTGGGAATTCGATATAAGAGTAGGCCTAGACCATATTTCCACTGCCCGGGCCATATTTTCCTTCATAGCACACTGTATGGCGTATGCCCGTCTTCATTAGCCCAGTCGGGGCCGAACAGTAGGACATTAAACCCCAATCATTTCATTTCATGAACGGAAATCGTCTTCAAGAATCGCATTGTGAGTTACTAGGGTTACGCTGTCTCTCGAACTACTTTCCTGCGCTCTTTTGGACAAGGTCCAAGGTCAACAAGGTGGGAAAGAGCGCCATATTAATATTAATACTTAAAACTTAGAAAATCCAAAATACGAGGTACCGGTATCTTACTTTATTTTATAAAAGATCAGACTTAAACAGGGGATAAAACCCATCCAAAGACTGGGCTTTAATAGTTAGAGAGACAGAGAGAAACTCGGACTCGGGACAGAGAGATGCCAGATGGCAGATGGGGATTAAGTCTAACTAAGATTAGCTAAACTAACTTAGTCTCTAAGTCTAATTCAATATCATCCACCAAAGTCTTACTCGTTGAAAACACGAATTATTTGTCAATTCAAATCAACATTGATGTTGTGATCTTACCGGGAAAAGGTAAGCTTCTGATAACCAATATTTAAAATAAAATAAATATTTTACCATTGCATTGGTACACGAATCGTGTACGGTGCCATAGTACGTTTGATTGTCATTTGTAACAAAGGACCGAGGCTAGACATATTCCACAACTGAATACTTATATCAAACGGTGACGCCATGAGAGCATGCGCAATAGACTGAAATAACCAGATACTAGAAATAGCGATTCGGTTGAGACTCATGCCATATTTCGCTGGAGATAACTGATTTGAAATTAGAGTCAAAACGGAAACAATTGAATGTAAATCAGTTTATTTATACAATCAGATTACATTATTATTTGTTGCGACCCATTTGGGTCAATTTCTAGGTCCCAAACATTAGCGATTTACTTGATTTAGCTCCTTTAAAGTCCACTCGTCTCGACCACTTGACACAATCCATTAAACTAGGCCTAAATCATTTCGGGACTAATAGGCCTATTGTTAAATTCACTTGACAGTCGACCCATGCACGCCGTGTTAGGCTCAATGACAGATTTTGTGAGATAGTGCTAAACAATATTCCTACTGCCATCAAGATCAAGCACTATTAGTATTTGGCCGTACTAGGTTTGAAGCCTACTTGTACTTGTAGCCTAAACTACTAAACTAGGCCTATGTTAACTATGTAGACCTACTGGTACTAATGCCATTTCTGATGATATGGATTTTGATGATATGAATTTTGAAGATATTAATATGATGATGAAACAAAATGAAATGAAATGCTGAAATGGGGTTTAACATCCTACTTTTCTGCTCTTTCTGGGCTAATGAAGAAGGCATACACTATCGTCTATCAATATGTTATGATGAGGCAAATTTTGGACAGAGTGACACTAATGTAGCCTACGTAAGCTTACTCTTTTTTGGAATTCTGTCTGTAGGGTTCTTTTAGTTCTATGTGCAGGACGCATTTTTCTTTCCATCCAAGCAACTAGGCACTGTTCCATGCAAAATTCAACCAGAAACATTATAGCCTGTTTTTGTGGTTTAACAAATTCCAATGGCAAAGCATATACTGATCTATAAAAGCATCTATAATGCGACTCTAGGCTGGGCCTTTCTATTCATGCTAATTAGCGAACTGAACAGCAAGTCATATGTATGTGTGCAGCATATGCAGGGGGGGGCGTACTTATTCTTTTTAGAACACCTGATAGCACTTTTTGTTCACATTACCTGGTACCGTACGGTAATATATAATTAATGTTTTTCTTTCGTATTGTCAAAGAATAATCTGAATCGACCTATAGAATTAAAAGTGTACTCATAATAAAGTTTCAGTCGATAACTAAACAGTCCTTTGCTTGCTTCGGGTGTTAAGAAACATTATTAAAATTTCATTTCATTTTACAGAGGATGTAGGCCTAGCTCAGAGTTCAGAATAGATCACACTTCCTCTCAACAATAACTGATAAATGAGTATATCAATCCAAATGGTTATGCCTATTGTAGCTATTGAACATTGTACTGTATCCCTGACCTCCCCTGCACGCGCTGTATCATAAAGTCTGTCATTGAGTCGAGTCAGTCGACAGGCGTGGTTTTGAATCCCCGGTTGTACGTGACAAGGAGTAGGGTTGCCTGTCCAACCTCGTGGGTTTTCTCCGGGTCCTCCGTTTTCCTCCCACTGCTAAAGACCCCTAAGCGCATGCGAATTATTGAAATAAAATTAAACCATTTGTTAGTCCCGAAATGACCTAGTTTGTGTCGAGTGGACGTTAAACCCCATTTCTCTCTCCCCTGACCTCCCGAATATGATGTAAATAAACCAATGCCAGTGGATGGTGTATCAGAATTCATGAATGGACAGATAGACTACTTTTTTTTATACGCCAAAACTGAAATGTGGGCATATTATTGTCCGGCCGTCTGTACATCCACAAGTCTATTAAAGTTAATATCCGATTGATAAACAGTTTTTAAGGTCATGAGACAAAGAAGCCTATAAATTTTCAGTGAAAGTTATGGTTCTTATTATCGTATTGACATTGAATTTATAGTGTTTAAGGTCATGATACATGATATAGGACTTTAAACCCCATTTCATTTCATTGCAGGTCATGAGACGAAGAAGTCTTAATTTTCAACGATTTCTGATAATTACTGCCAGAGTTACGGTCCTTGATCACATAATCAACAAGAGCATCGCTAATGCTGCAATATACGTCCACATTCCACCTTTGATTGATATGGTACTTTTTAAAATGAAGAGAATGAAATATGAAATGGCTGTATTATGTTCAGAGGCAAAGAAGACTAGGCATCAAGTTTGTTTTGCCAAATTTACAGACAAAATACTAACAATAAAGTGGGTGTGACACTGCCCCAGGAGGTCGGGGCAAGCATCAAAATAAATAGTTGCTGTCTTTATGGTATAAGGAATAAATATGCAAAGTTCCCAGAATTGCAGCCTGTAGACGATAAATACAAAAACTGGGCGTGGCTCTGCCCATGGGGGTTGGATATGGAAACAATATATATAGGTACCATCCTGTTATTGAAATGACAACATCAATAGTTGCCGTCCTTAGGGTATAAGGAATAAGTATACCAAGTTCCAAGATAATCCATTCAGAACTGTGGCCTTTGAGCGTTAAAGGCAAAATCTATAGTTGATGCCCTTAGGCTATAAGGAATACATATGCCAAGTACCAAGTTGATCCATTCAGAATTCCGGCCTGTAAACGATAAACATAAAAATTGGGCGTGGCTCTGCGCCTGGGGGTCGTGACATGCAGTTGTCGTCCTTAGGCTATAAGGAATACATATCCCAAGTTCAAAGACAATCCATTAAGAATCGTGGCCTGTAGGCAACTCACAGAGACACAAAGAAAAAATGGGTGTGGCTCTGCCCCTGGGAAAAGGGAAAAGGAATAGGTATGCAAAGTTTCAAAAGGAAATATTAAGAATCGTGACCTGTAGGCGATACAAAAGGCACACAAATTCTGGGCGTGGCTCTGTCCCAGGGGGTCTGGCATGCACCAAAAATAATAGAGGTCAGCCTTACGGTATAAGGAATAAGTATAAGAAAGTTTTCAAGATGATCGATTAAGCATTGCAGGCTGTAAGTGACATACAGACACACAAAAACAAAATGGGCGTGGCTCTGTCGCTGGGGGCTGGGCATTCACCACAAACAATAGGGATGTTCCTTAGGATAAAAGGAGTAAGTATGCAAAGTTTCAAGGTGATACATTAAGAAATGTGGTCTGTAGATGACAAACAATGAATACAAAAAATGGGGGTGGCACTGCCACTGGGGGTAGGGCATGCACCAAAAACAATAGGGATCATCGTTAGGGTATAAGAAATTCATATGAAATTTTTTCAAGACAATCGATTAAGAATTGTGGCCTGTAGGCGACACACAGACACACAAAGAAAATGGGCGTGGCTCTGCCCCTGGGGCTTGGGCATGCACCCCAAACGATAGGGATGTTCCTTAGGGTACAAAGAATGTGTATGCAAAGTTTCGAGATTATTAGTTAAGAAATGTGGCCTGTAGACGACAAACAAACAAATACTAGAAATGGGCGTGGCTCTGCCCCGGGGGGTCGGGCATGCACCAAAAACAATAGGGATCTTCCTTGGGGTATAAGGAATAAGTATACCAAGTTTGAAGAAAATCCATGAAGAATTGCGCCCTGTAGGCGAACCACAGACACACACACACACACACACACACACACACACACACACACACACACACACACACACATACATACATACACACACACACACACACAGACAGGGGCGACGGCATAATACGTTCACATTATGAATGTGGACGTATAAAAATGAAATGAATTGGAGTTTAACGTTCTATTGTTTTTCTCCTATACTGGGCCAATGTACAAGGGCATAGGCCATACAGTGTGCTTTGAGGGAAATTTTGCCCGGGCAGCGGCACTATGGCCTACTCTTATATCGAATTCCAACTGCCAAGGAATCTTTTACGTGCAAGCCAATGTATAAACAGGACCTCGGTTTTTCGTCTCATCTGAATGACTAGACAGTTGTCCTTGTCAGGCCTCCCCCTTCGTCCTGCACCACTGACAAGATGAAACCACGTCAGAATAAAGCCCATAATCAACCTTGTGATTATGAACAGATTGAAACGGAATTGCCATTTAATAATCTAATTTAAAAATGGATGTACAAGACTTTGTGTATATCGTAACAAACAGTAGCAATGAAAATAGAGACTACACTGAATGCAGTAATTTTACTGAAATTTTCAAATTATTCCTTGTTCAAAATCTTTAATTGTTTTTTTTCTTCAATAAGCTTACGGATTACAGTTTTTTTTGTGTTTACAACATTACTATAATCCTTTCATCCTACATCAGGACTACAGATATTTCTTGTGTTTTTTAAAATCGTGTAGTTCTTTACTAATAGTACATGTTTAATGTATGCTTGACAGGTCAGATTTTATTTGTTCCCATCTGCTGTAAGATGGCACCAGTAATGGTTACTCAACCCAAAATTTAGTTACATGTCTGTTTTGTCTGGTCCATAACACTATCATTGGGCATGATGGATTCTTCATATCGTAATACTCCTGTAATGTATTTATTTTAGATTTGTCAAAAGATGAGGTAAAAAAATTATCAATGGAGGAAAGCAATGCTTCAGGTTCGCACCTTCATCAGTCTCAATATTGAAAATTCTGTATGTTGCAAAGAATTAATCACTTAAACATACGTTATTCAAGAGCTCAATCTGCCTATTGCAGGTTTTTCTTTAGACCTGAAATTTTATATTATATAAACTATTAATTAGACATTTATTTACATGACAAGCATAAAATCAACTCTTGATACCATCGGATATCTCTGATATTAACTAGATTAGAACGGTTCAGCCATATTTTGATTTAATTTAGAAATGAAGGAGCGAGACTTAGCTTCGAACAACCAGTACGGTGGTTGCAATTATTGTACATGTCTTGTCAAACCTTCAAAGGCTAATATCTTTGCTTGCAATAGAGTAATTTGAACGAAATTTTCAATATATTCATTTTGCATTATCTATTTTCAAACTATTATAATAAGAACGGCCTGCTCTTTATCTATATCTTGCATAATGACAATAATGTATCTTTAATCTTTTCAATACACGTGGCCCCAGTAATTGGGTCATCACACAGGTCACAGCCTAGGTAACAATTTTCTGTGGGATCCAGTAACTGGGCCTATTCCAAGCCATGAATTAACTAGAATGCTTACAACCACATTCAATTAAACAAAGTAGGACCAAAAGTGAATAGGCCTAGCTGTAGTAGAATGATGATCACAAAGCTAGTCACCACAGTGACCAGTAAGGAATAGATTAAATGGGTATCAGTATCGCTGAGCAATTCACTGAGCAAAATAATACTTTTAAAATTATGTGTCTTAAAGATATATTATGGGAGATTTTAATAGAGAGTTGGCCATTCTTGCTGTAAAAGTCCAAAAATAGATGATGAAAGAGGACTATATTGAAAATTTCAGTCAAATTACTTTATTCTGAACAAAGTTATCACCATTGTAATTTTTGACTAGAAATAGGCGTCAACTCTTTCTTCGCCGTCTCCGAGAATGGCCGATCGTTTGATTGACAGGCGTTAACTCCACCTACATAATCTTGATTATCAAGTAACATTTTCAATGACTATGGTACCGTTAGCCTATTCGGTTTGAGATGGGGTTGCACAATTCAATTCGTATCACATTTATTTTTACTACAAATTAAAAATAAGACTTTTAATATATATATAAGAAGCGAAAGTTTGAAAAAGAATGGACCAAAACAATGAGGATAATTATAGCTGTATATATCGAACTTTCAATCACATTGACTGACATGCGGCATCGCTCAACAGCGGCCTAGCTTCGTACACTCTATCATTTAGCCTCGATCTTAAATTTCCGGGAGTATGACGTCAACTTAACGGTCTACAGAGTTGATTTTGTGCTTGTTGTGTAAATAAAGATCTAATTTATAATTTCTATGACATCTGAAGTCTAAATAAAGACTTGTAATAATCAGATTTAGCTCGTGCATAATGTATGTTAAAATATTTTTTAAGTTCTTTGAAATCCTATCGTCCTGTTTAGTTGAAATCCTGTCGTCCTGCTTTGAAATGCTAAATGATCACTTAATACCCTCAGTTCTCATATATTTGGTACCTTATCTTTTATCTTAATACACACCTTGGTTATTATTATCTTACTTACTTTTTCTTCAAAAATACTATTTGTTTTTTACAGGAGTCAAGGCTGGAAGGCAACTGAAGAAAATCAGTATTAACTAAAGATCACTAAACTTACCTAACAACACAACAAATACCAGAAGGGAAATCTTCAGCAAAAAACAGATACATTTGAATACAGTGTAACATCTAATTCTCTACACCCGTTAATAAATTATTACTATGATACACTCTGAGAAGAAGTCGAGCTACTTCAACTGGACAAATTAACTGATTACTAGAAATCTGAAGGAGCTGCTAATGCCTCAACATTGTCTCACAGTTTACAAACAGAACAGGTTTGTTTAATGCCTAAAGTGATAATATGCAAAAATATAAAACATGTTCGGAAAATTGTTCTTGCGGATGATTTCACAGAAAGCACTTTGTTTGACTATTATGAAAATGATGATGACGGAGATAATGATAAAGATATAGAATGTGTACATGTGTTGACTAATAGTTCATTTACCGAGTGTATTGATAAATAGTCTGTTTATCAATATATGGAGTGTATTGTTTATCAACATATTGAGTGTACTGTTTATCAACATATTGAGTGTAGGCTATTGATAAAGAATTGGGTGAAAAAACATATTTAGTGTACTGAAAAATAATTTTTTATCAACTTATCGATTGTATTGATAACTTTTGTTGATCACCATATTGACTGCATTAGATAAAGTGTTATAAACTTGTTGAGTGCATTGATACATATAGAGAATCTCTTATCAGTCTTTTTTAATATCAAAAAATATCAAAACAAGTTGATAAAGTAACAAAAAACAAGGCTCTGCCGAGTTTTTTTTTACTTTATCAACGAGTGTTGATATTTTTTGATATAAAAAAAGACTAGTAGGTGATTTTATTTATCACCCAATCCCTTCTTTTAAAATTATGTGTCTTAAAGATACATTATGGGAGATTTTAATAGAGAGTTGGCCATTCTTGCTGTAAAAGTCCAAAAATAGATGATGAAAGAGGACTATATTGAAAATTTCAGTCAAATTACTTTATTCTGAACAAAGTTATCACCATTGTAATTTTTGACTAGAAATAGGCGTCAACTCTCTCTTCGCCATCTCAGAGAATGGCCGATCGTTTGATTGACAGGCGTTAACTCCACCGACACAAGTTAATAAGGTAACAAAAAACAAGGCTCTGCCGAGTTTTTTTTACTTTATCAACGAGTGTTGATATTTTTTGATATAAAAAAAGACGAGTAGGTGATTTAATGTATCACCCAATCCCTTCTTACATCCACAAATAGATAAATATAATTCTTTGCTGTAGATTTCACTTTTACTGAACATTACGGCGTAGTGATACATCATTTTTGACAGCAATTCAACCATTGCAAAGTCTTTTATATTGACCCAGTGTTTCCATCAAGGTCAATTGAATAACAATAGTTCATTTTTAATAAAAAAAAAAGTTACGTTTAATAAGAAATGAACTGTTCTTTGAAAATAAAAAAAGTAGTTCCTTTTCTACTGACCAATCAAATTCATGTAAAGCGATATCTCCTTAGGAGATATCGCAGTAGATTATGAAATATATCACACAAGCGATATCTACTGTAGAATGTATTTGGATGATAAAATTTATTAAGTGTTAAGAAATGTTTGTTTATCAGCTTATAGACTGTATTGATATAGTATTACAAACTTTTATCAATATTACTGTAAATAATTTTATGTTTATTTTCTTAACTATAGTGTGAATAATATGTTCATTTTATCAACTATAGTGTATCAAGTGTATTGTTAAATTTTGTTGATCACAATATTGACTGTATTGATAAAGTGTTATAAACATATTGAGTGCATTGATACATAGTTTATTCAGTGTTATGAAGTGTTTATCAGCTTATTGACTGTATGTATAATTTTTTCATTTAATCAACTATAGTGTACATGGCGTATTGCTCATTAGTTAAAATAACTTATTGTTCATATGAACTATAGTGTGAATAATTTATTTCTCATTTTATTGATTATACTGTGAATAATGATTTGCTCATTTTATCAACTATAGTGAAAATAATTTATTTTGCTCATTTTAACAACTGTAGTGAAATTAATATATTGTTTATTTTATCAACTATAGTGTGATTGATTTATTGGCGATTTTATTTTGTTAACTATATTGTAGATAGTTTATTGTCATTTTATCAATTATGGTGTGAATAATTTGTTCATTTTATCAGCTATAATTTATTGATTGATTAATAAAAGGATGTCGATATTATATTTCTTGTTGTAATTCTTCATAAATTGAGAAAACTTGCTATTTTGAAGGAAAATAGATATGAAATTTCACATAAATTAAAATAATTGTAGCAGACAATTAATATTCAATGGCAATTTGATAAATGTCAGCACGATTTCAAAATCAGAGAGGCACTTTAATTAAATCATTCTAGAAAACGACTTACTAAATGGATCAAAGCATGACACATGACACATTGGTCAGAATAACACTGGCCACCTCAACGGCATATTCTTGTCCTGCCATCCGCAGTTGATAGCAATACCGACTCTTATCTGTGAAAAAAAACCGTTCTCCAGTCTGTCTCACCAGTTCTGGTGTTGTTGGGTAAACTGTAGACGTTCACGTCGATGGCGTGGGATGGGGATCGGTCCACGGTAAGGTCTACGGCAATGGATGTTCTCTCTGTTAAGACGTCGGCGCACTGTATCGGTACTAATGGGTCTTCCGTGTGTTCCCACTGTCTGACGTGCTGTCTCAGATGCCTGTGTGAAGGGATTCTACAATTGCTGTCGCAGAACATGGCAGTCTTTAGGCCTTGTAACCCGTGGTCTACCAGTTCGGGGGGCAATCATCCGTGGTGTTGGTGGCTCGAAAGCGTTGCTGAAGCCTGTAGATGGTCCGAACATTGACCTGGAAGTGATTGGCAACGGCTTGGGCAGTGTGGCGAGCGTCGAGTCTTCCAAGCGCCTGGTCCCTCTGAGCTGTCGTGAGTCGTGGCATGCTGCTGACGTTGTAGTGTGAATGATTCAACCAGGTATGGGGTGCATTTTATAGGACTGGTCCCGGTGAACAGCACGTGCAGCATGAGTTACTTGAAAATCATGGAGAACACATTACCATCTCAGAAGTCAGGTTGCGTTTTTGAGAATATTTCCTGGGTTCAATTCCGTGTTTGAGAAGGAGCCTTATTGCTCAGGTAAGGTTGGAGATGTGGTCACAAATAATAAAAACATTTGACATATTTTATGCAATGCGTCTATTCAGATTAACATACCAACCCGGCGTTTCGTTTGCTGCTTAGTATATGTCATGTACAGATTGATCGATATGGAAAATTTACACAAATTAAAATAATTGTAACAGACATTAATATTTAATGGAAAAGCCATTGTTAAACCATTATTAAAGAAATCCAACATGGATCCAGATATTCTGTCGAATTACCGTCCAGTCAGTAATCTATCTTACATTTCAAAACTGCTAGAAAAGTGTGTTCTAAATCAATTAAATGATCATATTTATTCCAATAACCTTCAAAATCCATTACAATCTGCTTACAAACAATACCACAGCACAGAACTGCTTTACTCAAAATCACCAACGATATCTACCGAGCTTTAGATCAACAGAAATGTGTTATCCTGGTACTCTTAGATCTTATATACATATAGATCGCTCAGCCGCATTTGATATGCTCGATACCGAAGATTTTCATGATGCATTATGGTGTGAAATTAGCTTGCGTGGTTCTGTCTTTAACTGGGCTAAGTCATATCTAACCAATCGCACCCAAGCTGTCAGAATTAGAGATTCAACATCCGATGTGAGGTACCGCAAGGTTCTGTACTCGGACCTGTACTTTTTATCATCTTCACAAAGTCTACCATTAAGATTGATGAAGGCTATGGGCTAAATATTCATGTGTTTGCAGACGACTCCCAACTTTATATTGAATTTGAGACAGACTCTCAACATTCCACGATACAAAATATAGAACTTTGTCCCACGGAAATTCTTGGTTGATGACAGAACATTTTTTGAAATTAAATCCAAATAAAACAGAAAATCTAGTCGTTGGAACTAACTAACAACTCTGAAAAATTGATCATACGCTAGTTAATTTTGATAAAGAAGTGATCACAGGATCCTATAACTCTCGAAATATTGGTGCTGTATTAGACTCGAACCAATCGTTGAACGATCACATACAAAGTATTTGCTCCACCACCTTCTATCATATACATCGAATTTGAAAGATCCAACGCTATCCCAATTATGAAAATAAAGGAGAACTCATTCACGCATACATCTCAACTAAACTAGGTTACCAAAATGGTTTACTATACGGCTTACCAGACTATCAGATTAACAAACTACGTCATGTTCAAAATTCAGCAGCTCGGTGCCTCACTAAAACTAGAAATAGCAACACATCTCCACGGTATTGCAATCTCTACATTGGTTCCCAATTCAGCAAAGAATTAAGTTCAATTTACTCCTCTTTATCTGCAAAGCGTTAAACGGCCAAGCTCCATCTCATATAAAAAGTCTTGTAGAACCCTATACCACCAGCAGAAATCTTCGTTCTTAGAAAAAACATATTCTAAAATCTCCAGCTATTAACTTACAACTTGGAAAACGTACCCTTTCTTATACTAGCCCTTTTCTTTGGAATGACTACCACAGTCAATGAAACAATTACCCTCTGTGGGCCATTTTAAATCTCAACTCAAAACATTCTTGTTTCAAAACCCTGATCTGTAAATAATCAGTGAATATAACCAACAGCGCCTTAGAAACTGTTTTTGTTCTGTATTAACGCGCTTTACAAATAAACGATATCATTATTATTATTATCAGGATTACTATGGCCGACATTAATATAGTAATATGTCAAGTACAGATGGATCGGTATGGAAAATTCACACAAATTTGGGGAATAACAGATCGATCGGTATGGAAAACTTACACCAAGCAAGATAACTGTAGCAGCCAGTTAATATATTATGGCAATTATATTATCCCCACACACCTTACGCGTTTAACATGGCAATTTTGTAATCGGCACACACCCTAAATGCGTATTACATGCATTTGTGCACGGTATTTTAGGGTTACGACGGCCGACTCTCGAATTGTGTAAGTATAGATATACCATTTTGTGAAATTCACACACATTCACGCCAAAGAACATGATAAATCCGTCATATAATTATGCATTTATACGTTTGTGGGTGAGGAGACGTAATCCTCCCAACGAGCCACGGTGTAAGACGCTGGTTCATTAATCAGGGTATCCGATCTAGGTGCTGGCCGAGGAAGTTTCTTGGGATTTCCAATCGCGGTTTCCACTTGTCAGTGATGCAGACAGTGTCTAGCCGTACACGTTGGTAATCAAGTAAAAGAACCCTTGATTGACAGTTGAGTAGTTGAATAAGAGTAGGCCGTGTGATTTGATATCCGGATAAAATTTCCCACATAGCACAATGCATGTCGTATGCTCGTCTTCAGTATCACCTGCAGTTGGTGCAGAAAAGTAGGACGTAAAACCGCATTTCATTTTGTAATCCTCCCAACGCATATTCCGTAACCTTTTTGTGCGATCGATGTTACCGGTAGTTATGTGTATCTCAGTCAGTCAATATGGAGAACCCGACGAAAACCCACTAGGCTACTGGTTGGGTAGAGATGGTTCCACTACTGATGTCTTCCGCCTTACTCCAGCCACAGTCCCACATAACAATATGATGTTAATTTTACGTTACATTTACGTAAAAATGGTCAGTCAGTTTACCATCATTTTGCTCATCTTTTTAACGATAATTTTACGTCAGGAAATGACGTTAATCTAACGTAAACTTTACGTCATTTTTACGTTATATTTACGTCATTTTCTGACGTAAATCTAACGTAAACTTTACGTCATTTTCTGACGTAAATCTAACGTAAAATTTGCGTAAAGTTTACGTCATTTTCGTTAGATTTACGTCAGAAAATGACGTAAACTTTACGTTAGATTTACGTCAGAAAATGATGTAAATATAAGGTAAAAATGACGTAAACTTTACGCTAGATTAACGTCATTTCCTGACGTTAAATTGTCGTTAAAAGGATGAGCAAAATGATGGATATCTAACCGATCATTATACCGTAAATCTAACATTAAATTAACATCATTTACGGATGCAATTCTAAAGTCAAATTTTGATGAGCATTAAAATCTTCAAAATTATTCATTATTTGCGGCAGTAAATGGGAAGTACATTCAACCAATAATCAAATTTTCCTGACCCGTGGGTGAGGCTAAAAGTTGAGTGGTCCAACGTGTGCGCTTTAGATCATAAGGTCTGTCATTGAGTCAAGTGGTTTGTTTCCACACCCAACTTGAACATGGGTTTTCTCTGGGTCCTCCTACTACTAAAGATTCCTGGTGCGGATGAATTATTCAACTTGAATTGAATCCCTTAGTCCCAAAGGACAGTTTATGTCTATTGGATGTTTTACCCCATTGCTCTCTATCTACCCATAACCAGTCAGAATTCTAAATGTATTGCACAGAAATGTTAAAAATCTAGCAGAATTATATGACAAAATATACTACAAGTATGTATACATATACTTTATTTAAAAGACAAAAATATAATGTTATAAAATACAAAATACACATTTAAATATTAACAGTTTTTATCCACAGCTGTTTGAGAAATGAAGACGGGCATATGCCACACAGTGTGCAGAGCTATGGCGTACTCTTATATAAAATTCCAACTGCCAAGGGATCTTTCACACACACACACACACACTTGAGTTTACACTGTACCTTGATTTTTTGTCCCTTCCGTATGACTAGTCAGCCATCCATGTCAGGTCCTCTGTCCGGCATCACTGACACGGGAAAATGTTCAAGAAAAAGGTCTACATTAGCGCTATGAAAGTGTTGATATGCATATAAGAAAGAAAAAACTGGGATATTGACCAAATTGGGCCAAAACCTATAGCCTCTATCTTATTTGCTCAAGGTATTGATGGAATAGAAGTTAACTTTGGAATGAGTGAAATGAAATGGGTTTAATGTCCTATTCCGACAGGGCTAATGACATGGAAATATGCTATACAGTGTCCTATTATGGAATTTTATCCAGACAGCGGCGCTAAAGCCTACTCTTATATCGAATTCAAACTGCCAAGGGATCTTTCACGTGCACACCAATGTGTGCACAGGACCTCGATCATTCGTACCATCCAAACGACTAGACTAGGGAGAATTAACCAAGGAAAGCAAAGTCCTGAAAAGCTGTATATTGATAATGCTTGTCCTCTCACAATCGGAATGATTCACATTTCACACCCAGTGTACGGACAAACAGGGCCAAAATTGATATGTGGGTGTATAAACAAAGATATATACTACACCAATATTACATGTGTTGCAGAATTGGTTTAACACATTTCAAATATAATTGTAACACGGATATTTGCAATGGTTGATCCATGACAAAAGATTTGAAATATTTTGAAGAGACGCAAAAGGTTACGCCATACAGTGTGCTATGAGGGAAATTTTGCCCGGGCAGCAGCGCTATGGCCTACTCTTGTATCGAATTCCAACTGCCAGGGGATCTTTTATGTGCACGCCAATGTGTACACTGGACCTTGTTTTGTTTTTTTGTCCCATCCAAATGACTAGACAGCTGTCTTTGTCAGGCCCTCCGTCCTGCATCACTGACAATGGGAAACCACACCGGAAAATCAGGATGAACTTTCTCGGCCAATGCAGGGATCGAACACCCGACCTCAAGGCTAGCGAGTCAGCGTCTTACCCACTTAGCCACATGATCCCCCCTTGGCCTCTGTACATGTAGAGATGAATTTTGAGCTACCTTTATATATATATTTCTATTTTTAAAACCCGCGACAAGTATATTCATATCAAGGATGTAACCCTCTATCAGTTAACCCGTCACGGATTGGTTGCATTGGTGAACCGGTTAAAAATATTCGTTTCATATCATACCTGACCTTCAAATCCAGGAATTGTAGCCACAACGGGGATCACGTTGGTTAAGTCGGTAAGACACTGGCTATCTAGTCTGGAGGTCGGGTGTTCGATCCCTGCATTGGCCGAGAAAGTTACTCCAGATTTTCGGGCGTGGTTCTCCCTTGTCAGTGATGCAGGACAGAGGGCTAGACAAGACAGCTGTCTAGTCATTAAAATGGGACAAAAAAATGAGGTCCCATGTACACATTGGCGTACACGTACAAGAGCCCTTGAAGTTAGAATTCGATATAAGAGAAGGCCGTAGTGCCACTGTCCGGGCAAAATTTCCCACATAGCACACTGTATGGCGTATGCCCATCTTCATAAGCCCAGTTCAGAGCAAAACAGTAGGACGTTAAACTTTCATTTCACTAGCCACAGCTCTGTTTTCTTTCAACAAAGGGGGGTGGGGGGGTGGTGGATGGCTGAATGGTTAGCGTGCGCGCGCTGTATCATAAAGTCTGTCATTGAGTCGAATGGCGTGGTTTCGAAACCCCGGTTGTACGTGGCAAGGAGTAGGGTCGCCTGTCCAACCTCGTGGGTTTTCTCCGGGTCCTTCGGTTTCCTCCCACTGCTAAAGACCCCTACGCGCAAGCGAATTATGTAAATAAAAAATTAAACCATATGTTAGTCCCGAAATGACCTAGTTTGTGTCGAGTGGACGGTAAACCCCATTTCTCTCTCTCTCTCTTTCACCAAAGGGGGGGATCAAGTGGCTAAGTGGGTAAGACGCTGGTTCGCTAGCCTGGAGATCGGGTGTTCGATCCCTGTATTGGCCGAGAAAGTTCATCCTGATTTTCCGGCGTGGTTTCCCTTGTCAGTGATGCAGGACGGAGGAACTGACAGACGGACAGCTGTCTAGTCGTTATGGGACGAAAAACCGAGGTCCCGTGTAGACATTGGCATGCACGTAAAAGATCCCTTGGCAGTTGGAATTCGATATAAGAGTAGGCCGTAGCCCTGCTGCCCAGGCAAAATTTCCCTCATAGTACACTGTATGGCATATGCTCGTCTTCATTAGCCCAGGTTAGGAGTAGGACGTTAAACCCCATTTCATTTCATTTCATTTCTTTCACCAAAGACCACATAAATACTTCATTTAGCACTTGTCATTTGAAACAGTTATAGCCTATGTCTTGTCTGGAAGAGGGGGCATCATCACATTACCATACAGGGTATAAGTCGATGTTGAGTATAAGTCAAATTGCCAAATTTTACATTTTTCCAACCTACTTCCATAATTAAGTAGAGGCGGTATATAAGACTAATGTTCTTCAACTCCATGAGTTTCGGGACTGTTATCCTAGTCTAATACCGTGCCGGTGTACGCCGAAGAAAAGTTGGGCCATATAAGTAATGAGGGTCTGGGACAGTTGTCAATAACACTTGCATTTATAAACAAACATGAATCGTGATGACGAATTAGGATTCAATAAAAAAAACAACATAGATATGGCCCATGAAGAGAGAAATTTTACAATAAAAAAAATTAAGAGTGTTGGATATTGAACTGACAATGCAATCAAATGGATTTTCGGAAATGGCATTCTTATATAAATTTCATGGGCGTCAACATCTTGTTTTAGGACTAGTTACCTCCCTTAGACTTTGTTTATGATAATGTAAAAGACCGGATAATCTAGCCTATGACCGATTATTCTCAAATGTTGACAACGCAACCACACTAATATTCGTAGAATATAGAATATTTTTTTCTAGATGATAGAGACTAATAATATGCCAACATTGAAATGTGTGCATAAATATGGTATATACTTAACTACACCAATATTATACCTATGTCATAGAATTTGTTACACACATTACAAATATAATCTTAATAGAGATCTTTGCTATGGTTGATCTATCAATAAAAATTGGAAGATTTGTAAGGAACGCAAAAGTTTATTGTTTACTGGCTGCAGCAGGGAGCAATAACAGGAACACAGATGATTTTCAACTCACTGATACAACTCAGTTTAGACTTTAAGCCAAAGAGCTGTTATATAATACTGTGACAGGATATCTGCTCTAAACTAACTAGTCATCAAAGAATTGACTGTCAAAAGTTCAGACAGAAAGTATTTTAGGCCTACAATGCTTGTAAAGCTTTGGCCTACATTCTGATGATATTTGTGCTACCATAGATACATATATATTTATATCATTACATTATGTGACAAGTAGTAGTGTTTGGCAAGTAGTAGTGTTGTCTAACTTTCATTATAAAGCCCATATAAATCTTTTTAGAACTTCTTTGTCATTACTGCCACCAAGGGTGCTCAAATATACATGTAGGATCTGTAAAAAAAAATAATAAATAAAAAGCAACTTTATACTCCCAAAAAAAAACGTAATTGGGTTAAACGGCCTACTGTTCAGCTCCAACTGGGCTGACAGCCAACCTACTGTGGATCTGTAATGAAATGGGGTTCAACATCATACTGTGCTGCTCAAACAGGGCTAAAGAAGTTGGACAAATGCTTGAAAGTGTGCTGTGATGGAAATTTTGACTGGCCGTGTGTACAAAAGAGCTTGGTTGTTTGTCCTATCCGAACAACTGTACATTAGCCCTTACCAGCCCCTCTGTCTTGCACCAGTTAAAAGAGGAACCATGCCAGAAAATCCTGATGAACTTTCTTGGCCACCACAAGAAAAAATAAGCTGGGGAGTAGGACTGAAACCTTTATGTACAAGTATGTACGGGCAAACTTGTTATTTAATGTTATATCATTTAAATAGGCCTATGTATATAAGCTTAAAGTCTTGATTATCCATTTTTCAATTAAATTAAATCATTAACATTAACCGCCAGTGTTTGAATATGTGAACATCTCGAGCACCCGATGGCATTGAGACTTGATTATAGACTTAGCAAGTTAATACATTAAAATGTCTTATAAAAAAATTTAACATTTACAGTCTCAAGAAATACCTACTTAACCTACGTACAATATATAGATTTAGCTCTTGCATTATGCATTATTAAATTTGCAAAAAAACCCAACCTGAAACACCCATAAAAATGTTTAGAAAATACTACATGTACTTATATTATAATTAGCACAGCCTGAATTTTAACAGTCTACATCATTAATAAATTCGTTATGTGTTTGATAATTTTTTAATCCAGATTTTTTAAAAACAATTTTGGAACCAGTATTACTTTCGATAACTTAAAGCAATGTTGATTTTGTTTATGAATAGTATGGTTTACGGACAATGTAACTGCATCGTGTTAAAAACAAATACTGACTGTCTGATATACAAAGTTGCGTGCAAACTTTTTCCACGGCCAGATTATTTTTTTATCAACATTAGATCTATCGGTATACTGTCAACGGAAGTTCGCATAAAAAGTGCACTTACCTTCAACTTTACTTTGCTGAATCCAAAATCGTCTGTGTATGTGTGGAATAGCTTTATTTAACTTTAAATCACGGCATCATTTCTTCTTTGGGAAAAATAATCACCTATGCCGCCATTTTAAATCCCAGAATTCCGTACGTTCCGGTCAAACGAACAAACAAAAAATATTTAATAAATAATAAAAGCAATTTAGATAAATAACAACAATAACCGTAACCTATAAAAAAAATATTGTAATGTGAATAGAAATAATATGATATAAACCGATTTAAACACAATCATCAACCGTGAACAGATCGTGACCTTGACCTTGCCCGAGACGATAAAAATATATTTGTACATCTATCTCTTAAAATGGCGACTGTTCGTTTGAAAGGCCTGTAATATTTCTGATAATGAATCTATTCATATAATTTGTTTGTATACGCTCTACTATATTTTATATGAGGTTACATAATTACGTCATATTAAAAGAATAATCAAATCGGGGAATTTTAATTTTCAGAGATAGGTCTTTTATCGAGAGACGATAAATATATATGGTCGTCCGCTTGCCAGCCTATCTTTTATAGTCCCATTGGTGCAGAAAAGTAGGAAAATTAAATAAAATTAAATGAGATTAAACATCCTACTGTTTTGCTCTGAGTGAGCTAATGAAGACAGGCATACACTATATACAGTGTACTATGACGGAAACTTTGCACGGATAGCGGCACTATGGCCTACTCTGATATTGAATTACAACTGTCGGAGTGTCTTTTACGTGCATGCCAATATGTACATGAGGACTTGATTTTTTGTATGACCCAAACACCTATACCTTATCCCTTGCCAGATCCTCCGCCCTGCCACAGTCCATAGAAAATTTTCGTCATAGCACTCTGCATTGTGTATGACTATCTTCAATAGTCCGATTGGTGCAGAAAAGTATGAAAATGAATTTTAAATGGGGTTTGAAAATCCTACTATTTTGTTCCAAGTGGGCTAATGAAGAAGGGCATATGCTATAATGGTTAAAATGTTGTGATTTCGGGTTAAAATGCCGTGATGTTGGGTTATCGGTTTACGAAGGGTGATATCAGTCACCATATCTACTGTGTTTCTTTAATACTCATATTTATAGTATTTTATAGAGTCAGACTAGTGGACTAGTGAATGCACGGATTAGTGCACCCACGGACTAGTGAACCCACAGACTAGTAATTGGTAATGATGGAAAAGTGTGTAAAGACCTGTTTTACAGGTTGGCGTGCACTTAGAACTATTGGTAATGACTATATGCGGAAATGCTGCTCTCCAGGCAAAATGTCTTTCCTAGCACATCGTCATTAGTAAGTGCGGTAATGCTGCTGTCCAGGCAAAATTTCTGTCATAGCACATCTTCATTACTAATTTTGATAAAGCCACGGTGGCTAAGTGCGTAAGATGCTGGCTCGGTAATCCGGAGGGCACGTGTTCGATGCCTGCATTGGTGGAGAAAGTTCATCAGGATTTTCCGACATGGTTTCCCCTTGTCAGAGGTGCAGGAACAAGGACAGTAGTCTAGTCACTCAGATGGGACAAAAAACCGAGGTACCATGTATACATTGTCTTGCACGAAAAGATCCCTTGGCAGTTGGATTCGATATTAGTAGGCCATAGTGCCGCTGCTGGGGCAAAATTTCCCTCATAGCACATTGTATGGTATGTACCTGTCTTCATCAGGACAAACCTACATGAGGAAAAACCTACATTTCACAAACTTAGTAATTAGTAACGGGGGGGTTGGATGGCTGAATGGTTAGTGTGCGGGCGCTGTATCATAAAGTCTGTCATTGAGTTGACTGGCGTGGTTTCGGATCCCCGGTTGTACGTGACAAGGAGTAGGGTCGCCTGTCCAACCTCCGGTTTTCTCCCACTGCTAAAGACCCCTACGCGCAAGCGAATTATGTAAATAAAAATTAAACCATATGTTAGTCCCGAAATGACCTAGTTTGTGTCGAGTAGACGTTAAACCCCATTTCTCTCTCTCTAGTAATTAGTAACACACTGGCTAGCAAATGAGGGGTTCAATTTCCGTGTTGGTCGAGGAAAATGAAATGAAATCGGGTTTAACGTCCTACTGTTCTGCTCCTAAACTGAGCTAATGAAGACGAGCATACGCCATACAGTATGCTATGAAGGAAATTTTGCCCAGGCAGCGGCGCTATGGCCTACTCTTATATCAAGTTCCAACTACCAAGGGATCTTTCATGTGCACTCCTGTGTGTACACGTGACCTCAGTTTTTCATCCCTGACTAGACAGCTGTTCTTGTCAGGCCCACCGTCCTGTATCACTGACAAGGGGAAAACACGCAGGAAAATCTGGATGAACTTTCTCAGCCAATGCAGGGATCGAACACCCGACCTCCAGGCTAGCGAGTCAGCGTCTTACCCACTTAGCCAACGTGATCCCCGCGTTGGTCGAGAAAGTTCCCTTTGTTAGTAGTGGTGTAGGACAGAGGACCTCAAAAAAACAGTGTCTAGTCCATCACGTGGGTGTGCACGTAAAAGAACCCTTGACATTTGGAATTTGAAATGAGAGTAGATCATTCATTCATTCAGTTTCTCTTTGTGTGTCACCTACAGACCGCAACTACTAAAGGAGCTAGATCTCTATTCTTGGGCACTTAGAAATGGATACAAAATGTAATGAAATGAAATGGGGTTTAACGCCAACTGTTCTGCTCCGAACTGGGCTAATGAAGATGGCCATACACCATACAGTGTGTTATGAGGGAAATTTTGCCCTGACAGTGGCACTACTCTTATATCGAATTCCAACTGTCAAGGGATCTTTTACATGCATGCCAATGTGTACACGGGACCTCGGTTTTTTATCCCATCTGAACAACTAGACAGCTGTCCTTGTCAGACTCTCCCTCCTGCATCACTGACAAGGGGAAACCACGCCGGAAATCTGGATGAACTTTCTCGGCCAATGCAGGGATCGAACACTCGACCTCCAGGCTAGCGAGCCAGGGTCTTACCCATTTTAATGACTAGACAGCTGTCTTGTCAAGCCCTTAATTGTTAGTATCATGACATTAAACTGACATTTGTTTTACGTTTTACAACTAATATCAGGTTTATGTTAGAAAACTAACGTTAGATTTATGTTAGAAAACTAAAGTTAGATTTATGTTATAAAATTAACATTAGATTTACGTTAGAAAACTAACGTTAAATTAACGGTTAAAATTATGACATAAAACTAACACTAACGTTAGATTTACGTCAGAAAACTAACGTTAGATTTACGTCAGAAAACTAACGTTAGATTTACGTCAGAAAACTAACGTTAGATTTACGTCAGAAAACTAACCATAAACTAACGGTTAGAAACCTGATGTAAAATTTACGTTAGATTAACGTTAGAATTATAACCAATAATACATATATAATTATTATGTCTGAATTCCGACTATATATCAATTGTTAGAATGTGCACACACTTGTAATGTTATTTAATCAAGAAGTATTCAAAGGGAAAAAAATTGGTTAGTAATCCGTCATAAAGTTTACGTTACATTTAAGTCATTTTCTGACGTAAAAGTAACCATAACCATTATGACGTAAAAGTAACGTAAATTTAACCAAAGAATTTTACCATTATTGGACGCTAACCAAAATCTAACCATAATGACGTAAACTTTACGTAAATCTAACCATCAATGTTAACTGGGGTAGCTCGTCCTGCGGAGTTCCTTTGCGTAAGTTTTTTTAGTCAAATGACTACAAAAAGGTTACTGACCTACAGCTCCCTTAATTTATACATAAACTGGCCCAAAACTGTACTGCACATAGCTTAACATATAATAAACCAATTCCCATTGAAATAAAGGTGAAGCCTTACCGCATAATTATATGATATGAAACCAAACTGCTACGAGTAATTTTTCGCCTACCGAACTTATTTCATCTGGCCGGTGTCATGGCGGCTTTCACATTATAAGAAACACCGCTTTGAAAATGTAGATCGCATTACCACAAAGTAACTACTTTAGTGGTCCAGTCTTCACTATTGTGATAGAATTACTATATCAATTGTAGCGTTAAACTGTGTGTTTAACTATACATTTAATTGTAGCTAATTGCCTCATGCTGATTGCAAACTTGTCTCAAGTTTATCAAAAGATAGGTTGACTGGCAACTAAACATGCGCCCACAGCACCTTTGTCTTCGGAGAAGTCCGTATGGTCATATTTGTTGTTTTGCAGGTGGAAACATCAAAATGACACAAAAGCTGATCAAAAGAAACAACCTATTAATAAGTAATAAAGTAATTAGCCTGTAGAGAGTCCACAATATGTTTCAATGTCAGTGAGGGCTATAACTCTGCCAGTAATTATTGGTAGTCACTGAAAATCAATGTTTTTTTTTCGTCTGATGGCCATAACACTTACATCTTGTATAAGAGAGAGAGAGAGAGAAATGGGGTTAAACGTCCACTCGACACAAACTAGGTCATTTCGGGACTAACATGGTTTAATTTTATTTCAATAATTCACTTGCGCATAGGGGTCTTTAGCAGTGGGGGGAAATCGGAGGACCCGAAGAAAACCAACAAGGTTGGACAGGCGACCCTACTCCTTGTCACGTACGACCGGGGATTCGAAACCATGCCAGTTGACTCAATGACAGGCTTTCTGATACAGCGGGCACATGCTAACCATTCGGCCATCCAACCCCCCTCCTGTATAAGTCAATTGGATTATAACTTTAGCCTTTAGAGCGTCTTTATGACCTCAAGAGGGTCCACAAGCTAAAAACGTGTTTTTTGTACAATCAGGGGACATAATTCAGGAAGCTATGGTTCGATATATGTGAATATCTACTGGAACAGAGATCCTTTGGATATAAACATATTATTTAAGTTTCATCAATATCGGATAAAAACTGTGACCTCTTTAAAACATTACATACTTTTCCACTATTATCGCACAAGGAGCGTCCATTTTCACGAAATTCGAATTCAACCATCATTAGGGTGTAACCATGATATATTTGAATAGTTTCGAAAGAAACCGAGATGTTTGGGTTGTAAACATACGTTTTAAGTTTCATCAAAATCGGATAAGACTTGTGACCTCTGGAGTGTCCACAAGCTAAAAACGTGATTTTTTGTACAATCAGGGGCCATAATCCATAAAGTTACAGTCCGATACATGTCAATATCGAAAGAAACAGACATCTTTGGACAATAAACCTATATTAAAATTGTGACCTGTAGCGTGTCCACCCAAAAACAAATCGTGGACGGACAGACAGACAGGGACGACAACAATATACGTCCACATCAAAATGTGGGCGTAAAAAACTGATCTAATTATTTCACAAAGTTTAATCAATAATGATTACGTTACATATGCATGAATTAAAACCAAATCACAGTCTAGATATTTCAAAATTAATAAACAATTATCACAATTTTCCATAATATATACAATATTTCAAAATATAAAACAAAATGTTACATGTATTTACATTCAAAATTTGTAATGAAATAATAAGATCCAATGAAAAAAGTTCTTTATTGTTACATTATCATCAACTCAACTGTCTGTGAAGAAACGATGTAATAACATAACATAACATAACATATTACATTTGATATAGTGCACATTACTGCCATGCATTCAATGGCGCTTCACAAAGTCTTACACAAACGTTAAAGAAATGCTTTACGAAAAAAATATGTTTTGAGTTTCTTTTTAAAATCCGTTACAGTTTGACATTGTTTCACACTTTCTGAAGGGTATTCCAGAGCCGCGGTCCTAGCACACTGAACGATCTGTCTGCAAATGTTTTACTTTTTGTCTTGGGTATAAATAACATGTTTTTTGATGACGATCTCGTATTGCATGATGAAGTTTGGGACTGCAATAATTCAGAAAGGTAGACAGGGGCAAGGTTGTGGAGACACTTATACACCAGTACCAGTAGCTTGAATTGTCATCGGACTTCAACTGGCAATATATGAAGTTCTTTCAGAGCACCAGTCGAGCTATGGCCGTAATTAACACCAAGAATTAGCTTTGCAGTAAAATTTTGAATTCGTTGGAGAGGTTGAAGAGTAGTTGCTGGCAAACCACAGAGCAGACTATTTCTGTAATCCATATGGGAGAAAACTAAAGAACTGGCAATTTGAAGAGATGATTCTCGCGAAAGAAACGGACTCAATTTCCGCAAGTTGAACATTGCCGAAGCAGCACAACAAGTCTTCTGGGCAAAATGACTCTTTAAGTTTAAGTTTTCGTCCAAATGCATCCCCAGGAATTTAACACGGGATGAAGACCCAACTACAGAATCCCCAACTCTTAATTCGTGGATGGTAGACTTGTGGAGCTAACGGCTACCACCGAAGATAATAACCTCAGTTTTTTCGTCGTTCATCTTTAGTCGATTATGCAGCATCCAGATTTTAACGTCGTCTAAGGACTCTGATACGCGGGAAGCAATATGAGATTCTGCATCAAGATCTCCGGCTTTAAAACTGTCATACAAGCTGTGGTCATCGGCGTAGCCAACTAATGTTTGATTGTGTCTGATGCAGGATGCTAGTGTACTGGTATAGCAGATAAAGTAGATCGGACCATTGATGCTACCTTGTGGAACTGAAAAATTTACATGTTTTACATCGGAGAAATCATTCTTAACTTTTACACGAAAACTCCTGTTTTGTAGATATGACGCCATCCACTCTTTTGCAATTTCTGCAACACCAAAATGATTCGACATTATCGTAAGCAAAAAAAGCTTGTGGTGCACGGTAATCAAAGGTTTCTATTTCTAGAATTCAATTTTTAATAAGCTCAATCTTGAAATGCATTTACTAAGCTCCATCTAGAAAGCATTTTACCAATCTAGATCTTGAAATTTCTCCTGTACCATTTTTCTTCTGGTATTCTTCTCTAGATTTCATTATTCCCTACAATGATATATTTGATCAGATAATTTATGTTACATACAGTACACAACCCATCACATTATATGATCAGCATGAATTATAATACCAATATAGATCACCTGAAAATCAACCAGGATGGTCTTCTCCAGGGCTCCAATATTAATATAAATGCCATTAAATCTAAAAATGACAACACAGGTGAAGTGAATACAGAGGACATGACCGTTCATGCAGCCGGAAATACTCCTGTAACAAGGTACTGCTTAAACTTTGCAGTACTTATCCATTTTTACAATCTAGTAATACATTTCAGGCCTTGATTTCAGTTTATTGGATTAATATATTAGGAGTTTCATCGCTCTCACATAATTAGAACTAAAGTTATCGTGTCCCAAAGCATCAACCAATCAAATTGCTTATCTCTGCTTACCCTAAGTAGAAGATTCTCATCTTCTAAACACCTACGGCAAGTGTGAACATTCTAACTCAATTAAAATGATAGGTATTGTGTTCCAAAGTCTCGACCAATCAAATTGCTTATCGCTCTGCTTACCCCGAACATGCTCATTATCGAACTTAGTCAAGGTATTGATGTAATGAAACTATACACCAAGTTTCATCACTCTCACTTAATTAGAACTAAAGTTATCGTGTCCCAAAGCATCAACCAATCAAATTGCTTATCTCTGCTTACCCTAGGCAGAAAGTGCTCATCTTCGAACTCCATCAAGGCATTGACCTAATAAACATCTACAAGAAGTTTGAACATTATAGCTCAATTAGAAGGAGAGTTATTGTGTTCTAAAATCTCTGCCAATCAAATAGCTTATCGCTCTGCTTACCCTGAGCAGAAAATGCTCATTATCGAACATAGTCAAGGTATTGATGTAATGAAATTATACATCAAGCTTCATCACTCAATCAATTTGCTTATCTCTACTTAACCTAAGCAGAAAATGCTCATCTTTGCACTCATCTTTATTAGGTATTGACCTAATAAACACCTACACTGTCACCAAGTTTGAATATTCTACCTCAATTAGAAAGAGAGTTATTGTGTCCCAAAAAGTGTGACGGACAGACAAACTGACGGACAGACAGACAGACAAACGAACCCATTTTAATAGTTCCCTGCTTTCTTCGAAAGGCGGGGGACAATAATTTTTTTTAGAGAGTTCACAATACAAGATTCACAAAATAATACACAGTGAACGTTAACAAAGTGATGGTTGGGTGACTCTTCGAACTAGCCAAACCCTTACAGAAATTCTGACCTGTAGGGTGTTTATGAAGTATATTGTACAGTAACAACCATTAAACATACATTATGCATGAGCTAAATCTGCCTATTGCAAGTCTTTCTTTAGGCCTGAAATGTTTTCTAAATTATTAATTAGACATTAATTAAAAATACATTATGTAAGATTTAGATAAAGAGCTAGCCATTATTGCTATAACAGTTTGAAAATAGATGATGTAAAATGAATAAATTGAAATTTCCTGTAAATTACTCTATTGCGAATGAAGATATGATCCTTTGAAGTTTGACAAGATGTGTGCATTAATTGCAACCACTTTACTTAAGCTAAGCCTTGATACTCCAATTCTAAATTAAATCGAAATACGGCTGAACCGTTCTAATCTATTTAATATCGGAGACATCCCATGGCATCAAGAGTTGATTATGGTCTGGATCAGTTTATTAATATCTTATTAATAATTTAGATAACTTTTCAGGCTAAAGAAAGACCTGCAATAGGCAGATTTAGCTCTTGCATAATGTAAGTTTAACTAATCATCTCTTGATGTCATCTGATTTCTCTGATATTAGCTAGATTAGAACAGTTCAGCCATATTTTGATTTAATCTTAAAAAGGAGGAGCGAGACTTAGCTTTGAACAACCAGTACGGTCGATGCAATTATTGCACACGTCTTTTCAAAACTTCAAATTCTAATATCTTCGCTGGCAATAAAGCAATTTGAATGAAATTTTCAATATTATTCATTTTACATTATCTATTTTCGAACTATTATAGCAAGAATGGCTAGCTCTCTATCTAAATCTTACATAATGTATCTGTAAGTTGAAATGAAGGCACATAATTAGAAAGTATAAAGAAATTACTTGAAACATATTCCCCCCTTAAGTTCTTTTTGGGATCATTTCACTTCTGCTGAAGTCTTTAGTTTGATTTTTTCAACTTAAACATCCAACATCAATACATTCTTGTGTCTTTTCTCTTCTTAAGGAGCTTTATTTTTCTCCAAATCAACTTCTAAAAAATATAAATAAAACATAATGTGAAAAATTATTTAGCTACTGCCATGTACATGTACACTAACATAGTTAAAAATACCGCATTGGTTAACCTTCACTTCACTACACAAAAGGCCAATTCAGAATTAGATTGGAGGCCTTGTGCATGTTTAGGCCTATAGTTTACAGAAACTATTCTGAGATGCATCAATGTCCTTGTACGTTGTAAATCGCCACAAACTGGATCTGTCTGTTCTATTTCTGGTCAGTTTAACCCCCCAATTTATTTTTAGCTTGAGAAAATTGTAAAGTAAGTGGGTTTAAAATGTTTATTTCCTTCTGGTAGCCTATTCAGAAGCTTATATTCAAACTAGTTCAAAATTGCAGGGTATTTAAGACCGAATGCTGTTGCACATGTCGTCATTTTGCCAGGAACAGGCTATAGTTTACGGTACTGTGCATGCCCAAAGCAAGCTGGAGCCAGAGATTTTAAGACGGCTACAGGTGGGGTTGTTAAACTGGTTTATTTGGTCCCACCTTTGTGTTCAGACGATATTCAATCCAGTTCAATGTCAACGTCTGAACGCACTATAATATAAAAGGAGAGTCTTTGTGTGCTGGTAAATTTGTACAGATAATCTAACCTTTACTAATAACTTGGTGCAGTAATAATAAGCTTAGCTTTTTCTATGGAAAGAATCTGGGTGGCGATTAATTTGTTTACAAATTAAATTTCCAAAATTAACATAATATTTAACATTACCTCACTTTCCCTTACTAATGACATACACATGTGCTTAGGAATAGTTATTGGGTCCATGGACTGTTTTTCTTTTTTATATGTAAGGTAAACTTATGTACCAGCCACCCTCCTCCCTTCGTTCACTCATTGTTACCAGTCCATGTTTCCCCTTGTCAGTGAAGCAGGATGGAGGGCCTGACAAGGACAGCTGTCTAGTCGTTCGGATGGTACAAAAACCTGAGGTCCCATGTACACATTGACGTGCACGTTAAAGATCACTTGACAGTTGGAATTCAATATAAGAGTAGGCCGTAGCGCCACTGTCCAGGCAAAATCTCCCCTCATAGCACACTGTATGGCATATGCCTGTCTTCATTAGCCCAGTTTGGAGTAGAACAGTAGGACGTTAAACTCCATTTCATTTCATTTCATTTCATTTCTAAAAAGGCACAAACGTAAACTATATGAAATGGATAGATAGACTGATAGCATGGACAAAATTACATGACAATTTATACTAAAGAAATGAAATGGGGTGTTTATTGTCATACTTTCTGCAACTAATCCCACTAGTGTAGAATGTAGAAAACAACAATTGAAGGTTGTTTGGGGAATTAAATTCCAAATGGGATTATTCGAGCTATGGAAGACGGAGATGAAATGAAATTGGGTTTAATGTCCTACTGTTCTTTTCCGCCTGGGTTAATGAAGATGAGCACATGATATGAGTGAAATTTTGCCCGGACAGCTGCACTATGACCTACTCTTACAAGTTATATATCCAATTCCAACTGCCACGGCATCTTTTACATGCACGCCAATGTGAACATGTGACCTTGTTTTTTGTCCCATCCAAATGACTAGACAGCTGTCCTGGTCAGGCCCCTGTCCTGCACCACTGACATGGGGTAACCACACCAGAGAATAATGAAACCGATATCTGACATGCAGTGTACTAGTACATGTATAAAGAAATTTTGGTTTGCCCGCCTACTCTTATTTCAATTTCAAACTGTAAAAGGTTCTTTTAGTTACCGGTATGTGCATGTCGTGTACAGGGGAACTTGTTTATCGTACCATCTGAATGACTAATTCCTGTCAGAACTGTATCTAGCAGACAAAATTCTTTGACCATTCCTGTCAGTCCAAATGGAAAGCTTCAATAAGAAAATACTGAATTGTTTCAATCGCATTTAGTAATTGAACTGGAATATACAGGTCACAATTCTCTGGAATACAATTACTGCTTATTACTGAGCGATGTTTCGACTGGGCTTCCCTACTCGAAACATCGCTCAGTAATAAGCAGCACTGGTAATTGCAATCCATAGAACTGTACATAAATAATAATAATCAAATTTTTTGCTTTTTTTAAATAGAATTTTGTGATTCAAAACACTTGAAAATGGTGATAGATTATTATCAATATATAGCCTATTATCAAATGTTGTGGAAAATGATTCCTTTTGGCAAACAAAGAAATACAGTGAAAATAGAAGGAAAAGACTCCAAAATAGCCTTAGACAGAGACTGTGGTAATGGCTAAAAGAGTTGTATTTTCATATTGTGGCTTAATAATAATAAGGACGGACAGGAATTGACAGAAGACTTTGTCCGTGAGTGACCGTTACGAAACAAAACAACTGAATGACTACTAGAGCAGGTCACACTGTTAATTCCTTCCAGCTCAGTAAGACTAAAGTGTCTAAAAGTAGACTAAAACTAAAGCCGCAATAATTTAATATGTCATACATTGCCTATCTTTTTGCTTTCGTCCTGTTTTCACATTCAATCTATTTTGTAAAAATCGAAAAATGATATCTAATTTTGCATCATTGTCTTCTTTTTCAGTAAGGGAATTTCTTCAACACAGGCCCTTATAATAAGAAATAACTAATATAATAGGCCCTAATAACAGTAACAATAAATAACAACGCATTGTTACATGAAATCAGAAAATTTGCCTGGCCTTTTAAGTTCAAAGTTTTGGTTCTATACACATTTGGCTGTGAGAGGAAGTAGATCTAGTAGGCTATGTATAGAAAAATTTAATTATTAATAAACTATATGAAATACTTACCGTTTGGGTCTTTAAACAAATACTGTAGGCCTATGTATAGGTCGCGAAACAAATCAACGTGTTCTTTGACTTCATAAAAGCATAAAAGGTTAGATATAATGATGCCATGGCCGTGGCGACATGCTTAGGGGGTTTTTTTTGTTTTTTTTTTTCAGTCAACCCGATTGATTCAGTTTCAAAACTTTCGGCCTCATTCCTTGAGACGATAAATTTATCTAACGATAAAAACAAATTAATCTCAGAATGTCTGATATTGTATTGACGAGACATTCGACCCATTACACGTTCTCTTCCGTAAATAAGATAATCCTAAACAGTTTTGTTTTTTTTAAATTATATTATTAAATTGGTAACAGAATAATCAGATTCTGAAAGCGAATTATTCGGGTAAACGCGTCGCATAACCAGATCACCGCTCGAAATGGAACCATATCGCAAAATAGTTCCAGTTTTTGACTGGATTAAAGATAATAATTAATTGTGTGACATAATAAATTGACTTAGCTGCATTCGATATAAAATTTTGACAAGAAGAAAGTCCCTGTTACAGCCACGGTTATACCTCCATTAAAAGTCAAATCGGAATCTAGGCCACGACGAATCCCTAGTAACTCACTATTTTCAAAAATGACCGAAATATAAATTTACATTTGTTACAGAATCAGAATATTCCAAATCTTTCTAGAACTTTTGATTTGATGAATTTACATAGCTTACAAATGTTTTCATACTTTAGCATTGAAAAGAGATATTACGAATAACAATTTAACGTTCGATACATTTAAAACGAAAGGACAAATTACGTGGGTTTTTTTTATTTTTATTAAATTAGTAGGCCTACAAATCGTTACTGCTATAGTCAGAAATACGATTGGAATAGATAATAGATAAGATCAGATTTTAATGTACCAAAACATCCATTAAGACGGGAAGAATACTCCTATAGTAAAGGGAGCAAATTATAAAATGGTGGATCAAAAAGCGACTCAGAACTGTTCGAGAGACGTTTATGCAATGTACAGTGTATATGTTATAATTGTCGAAATTAGAATATAGGGACCTCTGAAAAGAAAGTTCATTAAATAATAATATATATGCATACAGCGCACAGTTTCCTCCTATAAATAGGATAGGGCCTTGATTATCTACACAAAATCTCATCTTTAATCCCTATTTTAGTATTATTCATAAATATTTTGGCCGCAGTAAAATATGAGTAATTTAGTTGTTTATTAAATAAGTCCACATTTCGTCAATAACCAGAAAATGGGAATAAAGTTAGTTTTCCAAGTCTCGATTTATTTATTAGGAAAATAAAAACTATACGGCCCTTGTTAGTTGCTACTATAGTAGATAACAAAGGCTGCCCTTGTTAGTTGTTACTGTAGCGGCTAACAATTTACCCCCAGAGGCGCAGAGGCACCCTTAGCGCTGCTACGAGCATCTAAAAATGACTAACAACTCTCTACTACTAGCAGGCTAATAATAGGCGGATCGGGTGCAATATAACGGAGGACACATACAAGGCGCAGTTAATATTTATACGAAACAGTCTATTGATATTTTATTACAACGATCAGAAAAAGCCAGACCCCAGATTCTTATCTTCCATTGTGAATTTTCATCCAAGAAGGCCCCTACATTGTAAGTAGATTATAAACCCAATGTTCTATTCGAAATCATTGGAATTTCTATATAAAACACAGAATAATTGCAATGATAAACCTGCTAAATAATGAAATAAACTGTTTCTTTCAGATTACCTTACTTGAGATCAGAAGATCGTGTTTTAAACTCTCAAAACTATCCAAGATTATACTACCCAGAAGTCTATATTCTACATGGAGGCTACAAAGCCTTCTACGAACATAATCAGGTACATTTTTAACAATTCAATTATCTGCTTAAATTTACGTAACTCAAATTAAGGAGAATTTTCAATTTAGATAAATACTAATTCCTTCAATATTTATCATCTCGATGTCATTCTATGGTGTAAGATATTTAGCGATCTGAGAGAGTATATGTCTACCTACATTTAAAGCAAATGCTAAACGGCTCTGAAAACGGAAATACGCTGCTTAATAATATCAATGAGCTTTTTTCAAGTTCCTTTTTTTTTACAATCTTCACAATTATATATTTTAGGATTTGTGCCATCCACCTAGTTATGTTCTGATGCTACATGAAGATTACAGATCAGAATTACATCATATTCGCACCGTAACCAAATCACAGACGGAACGAGAGAAAACAAGAGGAAAAAGTAAAACAATGTCACGTGTGGTTAGGTTTTAAACTGTTATTGTTATTTATATAAATTTGTTATGTTTGAAATTGATTTTACTGTATATATTGTTGTTCTGTTATAATTTATTTTGTAAATACGAATCAAACAAAACTCTTGAATAGTAATAAATCAGGTGAAATGTATTCTGTGTTTTCCATTTATTCGTGAACGCTGGATTGCTTCAGCATTAAGGAATCCGTATTATACAATGAAATCCACTGGAATATATGAAAGTATTTGTTCTGGATCAATTATTTTGCTTTTCTATTAATTCACAACTTTCTTGCAAAGTGAAAACAAATACCCCCAGACTAGTTTGTCTTACAAAAGTTCACTTTTTGTAATCCCGCATGCTAATGGCATCGAATATATTTAGAAAAGTCGAAATTGTAGAGCGATTAACAGGTATCTATTCAGATACGCCCTGTGATTTGGAAAATAATTTCAAAATCTCTCACCTGTTAAGATATTAAAAGAATTGAACGGACCGGTGGGTGGCAAGCTACACAATATACAAGCCAAATACCAAGACCTCACCGAGTTCAGTTTGTTGGCTAATCAAAGAAAAATTCATTGGTCAAAAATGCGCGCATTGTTTCTGCAAATATACGTGAAAATTGTTATGAAGAAATATTTTCTTACCTGCCAACGCAAGCATAATGTCAACTGTACGGAAACTAATACTCAAATGAGATGTATCATTAAAAGCGCGGACGTGATAGAAAGACAATAGGACAGACAATGACATAACGTCATGTTCAATATTTGTTGATATCATTATTTCCACAAATTACTCTTTTTTTTTACTATAGATACAATATCCTAATGTAATTATATTTTGGGGACAGCTACGATATATTAAATAATGCATTGGGTTATTAAAACAGCTGGTAGAAAGTTGTTATAGAAGACACTCTAAAAGTGGACGCAGGAGAACCACGCCATGCACAAACAAACCCCTGAAGACAAAACCGCGACAAGACGCATAATATACATAGTCATTCAAGCAAATGAACCCAGTGCTAATCGCAGGGGTCCACTTTGCTGTACAGTCCCTGGCCTGTAATGATACAGATTCCCTTCGAAATGAAAGCAGACTTACACTATATAAGGGTGACAAACATCGAAAAACGGGGGAATATTTGCCAAACGTGTCCATCATTACTTTATCATAAGTAAAATATATGGTACTATTTCATTAACGTACCTCTTCCAGTTCCCATGATCGTAGAGACTTGAAATTTTCAGGGGGTGTTCATGGTGCCTAGCCATGACCCCGCACCAAATTTCAGCCGAATCTGCCAATAACTTTTTATTTTTCCGTAGTTTAGCTTGTAACGAGAGAAAGTTTATCCGATTTTGACGCCATTTTGTTTGTTGGCTATTTAGACTCGAATAACAAGACAGGGTTAGGGTTAGGGCTAGCCCTGTCTACATCTTGAGACTATGACGAAATCTACAGGTCCAAGCCCTTACCCTGCTAGGTAAATTAAGTGTAGCCTGTCACATGGGAGGAAACTCTTTAAAGGATTTACAGGGCTAAGACTAGTAATTATATTCCCTTATTTCATGATGACGAATGTAGTGCGAGTTATAAATAGACAATTTTTCCCTTGATTGTTTTCTCCCCTCTTCTTGTATTTTTTGGTTGACTTTTTGGTCTAGAATCGCAGAAAAGGGCTCAAATTTGCAATTTCATAGCAGTTTTGGGTAATACTGATAATATTACAGCGGGGGGATGGGGGGTGTAAAGTGTCTTTCTGCAGAGCAATCATTGTGTTGGAATTGAGATTTTCACCATAGTCAACATTAAATCCCAGTAGCAAAAAATCTAAACGGTCAACCCCCTACAAAATTATGATGAGAAGATTGCCAAATGTGGTCCCCATCGTGCCTATAAGGATTGGAACCAACGAAATGTTGAGCAAAAATCTACAGCCTGTGATGTTACAGCTATTTAACATTGGAGTCAATGGGCAAATAATTGCTAGTCTGAGACCTACACAATGACGTATCGTTACCTCCCATCGATCTTGTTAACACGAATAAGCCTAACAAAATTCGTTAAGATGTACATTAAAAAATAAAGTTTATAATAATAAACACACTTGTTATCGTGATTAGCTGTTGTTTTAGTTATCAGTAGTTACACGATCGACGGATCTAAGTTGATTGGCTTGAAATTGATAGTTCTATCGTCCGTGATTTGTTGCGGTTTTTTTTTGTTTTTTTTTTTACACTTTCTGATGTTTTAATGATTAACTATTTTGTACATTGAATATTAGCCTTTATATGATTGGGATTTCTCTGTATCATTGTTATTTTAATTTTGTATTTCTTAATAAAATGTTTACTTCACAATATCTGTTTTATTACTCATATTAGGGGTTTCAGGTCACGTGAATTTAGCGTGAACTCTGAAATATAGCCCGCCTCGATCTACGATTCTGAATTACTAGCTAAAAACGCGATTTTTCATAAAATCAGGGTCCATAATTCAGGAAGTTACGATCCGATATGCGCGAATATCGAAAGGAACCAATATATTTGGGTTATAAACATGCATTTCAAGTTTCATCAAAATCGGATGAAAATTAAAACCTACAAAGTTTCCACGAGCTAAAGACGTGATTTTTCGTAGAAAGCGGGGCCATAATCCAGAAAGTTACAGTCCGATATGCACAAATGTCGAAAGGAACCAAGATCTTTGGATTATAATCATACATTTCAAGTTTCATCAAAATCGGATAAAAAATGGTGACTTCTATTATAGCCGGTCTACGAGCTAAAAATGCTATTTTTCGAACAATCAAGGGCCATAATCCAGGACGTCACGCTCGGATATGCACGATTATCGAAAGGAACCAAAATCTTTGTGATATAAACATAAATTTAAAGTTTCATCACAATCGGGTGTAAATTGTGGCCTCTAGAGGGTCAACAACCTTAATATACCATATATTTACACTATTTGCGTCCGAGGGGCAACCATTTTGTCGGGCAGTTTTTGTCCGATTTTCACGAAATTCGAACTCAACCGTCATTAGGATGTAACGATGATATATGAAAACGGTTTTTGAAATTGGATAAAAACAATTACCTCTAGAGAGATCACAAGCTAATAACGCGATTTTGTTCGTACAATCAAGGGCCATAATTCAGGAAGTTAGGATCCCATATTCACGAGTATCTAAAGGAACGAAGATCTTTGGGTTATAAACATGTATTTCAAGTTTCATCAAAATCGCATCAAAATTGTGAGCTCTAGAGGGTCCACAACCTTGATATATCACATTTTTACAGAGTACGAAGGCGGCCTGTTTGTAAAGCATGAAATTCGAACTCAACCTTCATTACGGTGTAACGGTGATATATTTTCAATAAGGGGCCATAATTCAAGAAGTTAAGATCTGATATGCACAGATATTGACATGAACCAAGATCTTTGGGTTATAAACATGCATTTCAACTTTCTTTCAAATCGGATGAAAATTGTGACAGGGGCGACGACGACAATATACATCCACATGAAAAATGTGGGCATATAAAAATTGTGACCCGTAGAGTGTCCACAAACACATTGTGCACGAACGTCCGGATGGGCAGGGGCGACGGCATAATCCACATGATCATATTATTGCTTCACACCAAATAGTGGTGGAATGCTAAACATCGAAAAGGTTCATTCTCTCTTAGGAGGAATCTTATCGAAATTCAAAATAATATATTTTTGGAGTTATCCCTGTTTTTGTACTCAAATTCATGCATTTATTTTGTTCACATTATAACTGTTATCAGTTTTTTTCTCAAGTAATACAACACTAGGCATCCAAATTTTATCATCGTTCTAAAACAACCAAATTATGTCATGTATTTCTTAGTTGTTTAAACAAAAGTACCATTTAGAAATTAATAAATGGCAATGAAAAGATTCTTTAAGTCTCTTAGGAGAATGGGACTCTTCATTTATCCTCCCAGCTTCTTGTATCATTAACAGTGTGCAACTGCATGCTTTGTTGTTGCTTTAACAAATTTCGTTACAAAACAATAAGAATAACTCTCTTAATTAAATCTATCATATTTTTATATATAATATGAAATGTATTACAAATAAAACTAGACCTGGTTATAGTCTCTGGTAGATGTGAGGTAGATCAATAAATTATTACTATATCATAGATGTTATTTACAAATAATTTAACAGCTTATGTAAAATAATACATACATTAGTCTTCTAAAACATTTCATTCTTAAGATAATCTAATTGTGGACAATGTAACATTTATGACATTATTTTTACTACTCCAGTAGTCACAGGTGAAAATTCCATATAGTCTTATATCGAAGAGCATATTATTATTATTATTGGAACAAATTGTTAAAATCTATCAATCCCAGTCCAAGTTATGACCATCTCAAGTTCCAATAACATTCTATTGATTTCATGATGCCATAGAACAATGTCAGTCCTCTACAGAAGAATAATTTGTTTCCATCCATGAACATTGAGATCAGATTTCCTTTTTAACCTTTAATAATATTTTTCTGGGGCATTTTATGACTATTTGCAAAAGCCTAAAGACAAAATATAAATTATAGCTATCACAAGATTTCCATGTTCTAAATTCTATGTATGACATCATTTTATTTGAGCATGAGATTACAAGTACGTTTTTTAAATATCATCTTTCATGGGCATAATTAAACTGATTTCCAAATTTATCTCTCACTCTTTTAAAGTCGGCAGCATCCATCACTGAAGTAACTCTCTTCATTGTTCTTCTGAAGTAAATAAAAAAAACTTGTCTTTAGACACGGAAAACCAACCATAATACTTATATAGTCATATCCTCTATTTATTATTAAAATTAAGCAGTAGGATGAAATGGAATTGGAAATCTTTGGGAGTACATGGTAATTTTTTCTGCAGTTGTAGGTACAAAGCTTGGTAGGTTTTAGTCAGTGAAATATCATGGGACTATATTTCCAATACATTTTTTTTAGAAGTCAATATTAACTCCTATTAACTTGAGAAATGACTTTCAATTATTATCAATTATCTTTATTTTACCAAAACTAATAAAATAAAACCTAAAATTACCTATTAAACACATGTTTTTCTAATCGACTTCTAGATGTATTCTTTATTTCTTTCACATCAGTTAAATTGGCATATTTTTTATTCTTGCCCTTTCCCTTGCCCTTGCCTTTTCCCTTTCCTTTAGATTTGGATGAACTGGATCCTAAATCTATACCGAGAGAAAGCTCTATATCTCTCTGTAACTCTGGATCCCTCCAGTCAGGAACAGAATCTACAAATACACAAATATACCACCGTTATATAACAATTGAGGCCAAAAGAAAGACCTGCAATAGACAGATTTAGCTCTTAGATACTGCATCTTTAAGCATTGCTAATTCAGTACTATTCACTTATTAGTCCATTATAAATGTATTTTGATCACAACAATTTTCCTGCTGTTCATTAACAATTTTGGCATTAACAGTATCAAATGTTAACATACATTATGCAAGAGCTAAATCTGCCTATTGTAGGTCTTTCTTTAGGCCTGAAATGTTATGTAAACTATTAATTAGACATTTATTAACATGAAAAGACCTTATCAACTCTCAATGTCATCTTATGCGTCAGATTTTCACTGGATTTGAATCCGATCTGTGGTCAACGCTCATTGATTAAATCAAAAAATGGATAATCGAGACTTTGTTTTTTACCATACCAACTTTAGTAATGATGATCGAGGCGAGGTCTAAAATTCAATCGCTAATATCTCGCTTGAAAGTAAAGCAATTTGACTGAAATTTTTATCACATTCCCTTTACATTATCTAGTTTTTAACTATTATAGTGAGAACTGCCAGCTCTTTAATCTCGAATAATGCCCCTTTAACATTGAACATTGTCTATAAACACACCTTCCACTTTTTTAGCTTCTTCTGCTGCTAGTTTTCTTGCCTCTTCTATATTAGTAGGTTTGCCAGTATTATCACGACCAATAATTTTACCATGAAACGGGCACTAGAGAAATATATACATAAAAGAATAAGTTATATAACAGATTTTGGTATATGTCATTAAAAATGATCCAAAATTTGGAAATTAGCACAAAATCTATACAATCAATAAACACAATTCCTTTGTTGTATTCTTCAGATAAGAAGGAATTTTGAGCTATAACTTAGCTTAATCTCACTATTTAAACATTTCAATTGGACATGTTCAAATGGATATGCACAAAGTTTGCAATAAGCCTGTCCTGGATCACTTTGATATTATATCTTATAAACTTATTAACTAACACTCATTTTCTTGGTGAAAGTGATAATATCACTTTATTGTTCTAATTTATACAAGGATCATGTACGAAACATTTCTTACCTTTACTCTATCCATTCGTTCACAAAGAGAACCATTTGGTAGAGGTGCTCGACATTTCCATGTAACAGGCGTAAATTTGCCAGCATAATGAAAAGTACGACTTTTCAAAGCTTCTAGATCGTGCTGAAAACATAAGATTTTGAGTGAGTGCTGATTCATCTGAGGTATGTAAAATGCAATGGGCATCGTGGTTACCAGTATTTAATAGAAGAATAGCATTACACCGTTACACCAGTACTTTTTTTTTTACGCTGCACATTTGGATTTTCCTACTGATAAAACAAAAGGCACCTCTTCATCATGAGATGTTCAGTATACAAAGTTTTGGGCAAAAACATTACATAGTTTTTGAATCCTCCTCCAGAAACAAAAGGAGACGGTTGGACAGGGTAATGGCTACATAATGCTGGTGGGGTGTTTGGGGGGGGGGGGAATAAAAATTGTGCAAGTGTAGTAAGTAATGATGTTTATAAATTACCTGTGAAGCCTTTTCACTCTCGTGTTCAGCTGGAGTCCAAAATCTATGTAATGAATCATATCTGAAAAACAACATGTATAACCTTTTGTTGACTGAGATAATTATTAAACAAAGATTCATATTACTTAAAAAGAGATATTATCTCTCTCTCCAAGGAAATAAATGTTATTAATTATGAATAATATCAAGGAGCTAAATCTCTATTCTTTGGAACCTAAAGAAAATGGAACTTACAAAAATGGTCAAAAAGTACATATTAATGTAATGAGTGATCAGTTTTGCTTGTTGAAATACATCAGCAGACCAAACATTTGCCCCCTGGTTAGTCCAGTCTACATTGGCAAATTGGCCTCAAATTTTGAATGCATGACAAATCAAACATTATTTTCTTATCGGTGGGTCTTTAAGTATTCTAACAGAAGATATCTATGATGTACAAGTATATATCGTCACTCATTTTGATTGGTTAGCATGTTTTTCTATGATGAACCAAGCTCTCATAAATGAACAAGATAAAATATTGAACTCACTTAACCATCATAGGTGCTTCTATTTCATCTGGGTTTTCCCAATGTGCTAAATCAGGACCAAAGGGAACAATTGGTATATTATTGTTTTTATTTGAAGATGTACCAGGTTTATTAACATCTACATCAAATAAACCAAATTTTGATAAATTAGCTGCTCTTGTTGTAGGATCATGTGTATCACCAGATTTCGATTTTAAACTCCAATCCTTATTTGTTCTTTTTCCTCCCCCTCGTTTTCTCCTCTCTTCTTTCAGTCCCATCTCTAGATTAAAATAAAACATTAACAATCAAACACAACTGATTTTGGCTTTGCCATCTGTAGTTCATCATCTAAGTAAAATAAAATGGGGTTTAACATCCTATTTTTCTGCACCATCCAGCCTAATAAAGATGGGTATATGCCATGTAGTATTCTATGAGTTAAAATTTTGCCTAGCCCCGAGTTCACAAAGCATTCTCAGCCTTAAGTTAATAATTTACTCAAAATTGTTCGCTTATTTTAACTAAAATATAGCCCTTTATAAAACTTTTGTTGTTTTAATGTATCAAATATGTCAACAAGAAACTATGTGCAAAATTTAGTGTTTCTGGATCAAAAATATTTTGATAAACAGTAATTGAAACTCGGGGCCTGGACAAAAGGATTTCTACCTGCTCATCAACTGATTTCCAACTATTATATGTTCTTTTACATACATGCCAACGAGTACATGGGTGGACCTCGGTCTTCTGTATCGATCGAATGACTGAACACTTTCTCCTTGCACCACTGACACGGAACAGAGAGAGAGAGAGAGAGAGAGAGAGAGAGAGAGAGAAGGGGGTTTAACACAAGAGGTTGAACAGGCAACCCTACTCCTTGGCACGTACAGTGGGGGAATCGAAACCACACCACTTGACTCAATGACAGACCTTATGATGCAACGCACACATGTTAACCATTCAGCACCCCCCACCCCCCCGTCAGATAAGACATTTATTGGCTCCCATTTTGAATATCAAATTGGTTAAAGGAAAAGGAATTTTTGACCAATATATGATATGAAGAGCTTTAATAAAGTTCCTGAATTTTTTCTCAAAAAATTTACAAACGAAACAGCTAACAGGACATTTTACTCAAATTACAGGTATGTGTGTTGTTTTTCAAAAGTTAAATATTTCTAGAATTATATTGAGTGTTAGTGATAATATTTCTACCTGTGGCAGTCAAAAGATGAAAGGGTACTTCTGCTTCATATCCTTCCTTCTCGGGTACTTCTTCAAAATCATCATCATCATCTGCAAACATGATTTAATAACATCTTATATTTTCTTTACAACAATTAATCACTGAGTATTCCATATTTATTTGTACTTTTGGACCAGGTACTGGGCCCCAAGTCCTGCTTATTTTCTTGTGCTTCCGCTTAGGGGTGACAATCTCCGAAAAAAGCCTATGGCTTTGCCAATTCCAGAATGTTTGACTTGAAACTTGCCATCCTTGTTCCTTGGACTAATTGTGCTGTGATGTAGTCAAGCTCAGTTCTTGATCCATAGTATGTTCATACTTGTCTAGCAGCTCTAGATTTCACATTGATTTCTTTACCTGATTCATAGTCTAAATCAGCATCCCCTGTAACTTTCATTTCAACACATTTATTTAACAAGACTTCTAACTGATTCTTTAAATCTATCATTTCTTTTATTTTATCTTGAGATGCACCCGCTTTACTCATAATCTGTAACAAATAGATTGCATATCATCAAATCATTTTTTTTATTCATTTTAACAGAGTGGAAAATTGGGTTTTAATAACAAGTCAACACAAAATTAGTCATTTGGAGACTTAATATATGGTAGACTGTTATTTCACAAATTTGCTTGTACACACAGGGGAAATCAGCAATTCAGAGAAAAACACAGAAAACCAACTCGCTTAGGCAGATTTGGATGAAAAAAACATGCCAGTTTTACCATGTGGTCAAAACTGGTCAAATCTTAATTTTATGAAAATTAGTTGTTCCAATTTAACTTCTATAACACAACAAAATATATAATAATGCAAATAGGTTAGGAATGTAAAAGTTTTTTTCAAATCCTATTTATTAAAATCCTTACAAAAATACACCAATGTTTAAAACAATACTTCTTAAAAAGTATGTTATTTGTTCAGATTCAATATGAAATTAAGGAAAATAAAAGTTGATCGTTTAAGGATCAGAAAAGCCCTACGCTTGATATATGAATTAAATGAATTAAAAATACTTATGATATAGGTCTACCTACCTCCAACCATCTTGTTACTTTAGGTAAATATTTTACTTTCACCATACGTATAGAGTCTCTTAATGTTTTGAAAATGTCTTTATTATCATCTGTTTCTTCTATAAGAAATTTTTTAGGTTTGATTTCAATATTGAGATTATATTTTCGAGAACCTAATCCAAAATCATTTACAAAATCTGTTCTTGTTTCACTATTTACAAATTCTTCTTCAACATCCTCCATATCTGAATTATCATCAGAATCACCTTTTGTTGTAATTTTATCACTAGAATCAGTCATGATGGTCTCAAAAGAATTGTTTTCAATCCCTGAAATATTTTCATTAGATGAAATTTCATCTGTTTTTGTTAAGCCACCATTATTCTTTATTGGAGATTTATTGTTTGAATGTGATGCATTACTGCCGTCTGTTGCATTGGGGGAAGAAGTTGGATCATTATTACTCACTGGCTCAGATTCACTGATGAAAAAGTCATCTGGTGTAGGTAGTAATAAATTTAAACAATTCTCTATCTCTGTTTTACATGTTTCAATATCTGGTACAGTTTCTTAAAAAAAAAATATTAATATTTCCTGAAAATCTATTTGTTAAGTCAAGACTGACTAAAAATACTTTCAGTATTCATATCATTAACCCCTTACATTTTAATGATAAACTAAGCAGACATAAAGCAAACTTATTATCACATCAATCTGAATTTGTCTGAGCTCTAGAAACAATTGTTGTACTTCAAATTTTAAGATCATAATACATCATAAATATACCTTTAATCTCATCTAAAGCTTTACTCAGTTTCAGGTCTAATATTATCTTTCTCTTTCTTTCTTTTTCTTCTTCTCTCTGTCTTTCAGCTATTGTTCTAGTTCTAATGTCATTAAAATCGACCTATACAGAAATATAATACATTTACAAACAGTAAAAAATATAACATTTTATAAAATCTCGGTGAAAATTGTTTGATATATTTGGTAGATACCTTCTTGGGTCAAAAATCATCTATGAAGAGATTTAAATATCATTAAAGTTACTGAATATCTGATTGTAATGAAGAAATTAAACTCCACCTGGGTCAACAAAAACCCATCACAGAATGATAATGTGAAAATCAGTCAATTTATCCCTAGGAGTTATAGATAGATGGCATTGTTAGGTCAGTGTTAAAAAAGTTACATTTTTGCTGCATATATATACAGTTTAAACTTAAGAAAAATGCTGAAAAAAATGGATGTAATGATGAGTACTAGTATGCAAGATTATACAACATATTTCCAGAATGAACATTGCCTTATAATAACCAGGGTTAGGTTAAATTTTAAAACATATAAAATGACATAAAAGAACACTAAACACTTACTAATTTACATGATTTAAGAAAGTTGTAACCCAGAGAAAGTTTTTTATAAGCGTCACCAAATTTTTCAAACCACTGTTGTATGGCTTTTAAAGTTTCAGCTTTAAGTTTTTTAGCAACAGGCAGAGGAGGTGGTAGCGGTTGATCATGATCTATTTCTGTAAGGTTAAAAATAGGCCATTAAAGGAATAACATTAACTAATTTAAACTTTAAAAAACAGTACTTAGCTGAGCAGTATAGCAACTAAATAATCAAGTTAAACCTGACTGCCTCAATTTCTTTCACAATCACAGTACACACAGTAATGGATACATTTTGTGTGCTTCAATCCACAGACATTCTCAATGAGATTTTTCAATTAAAACGTTTAAAATATTTGAAATTTATCATGTATATGTTGCTAGATAGGGTATGCCTTTCAATTTTTAGCAGTTTCCAAAAACAAGGGAAAACCTAACTTACATTAACTTACCAACTGTTAATTCTAAAAATCTTTGAAATTCAGACACCAACAGCTCACGAAAGCAGTGAGATCTATTAAACAGTTCATCAATCATCTTGAATGTTGACAGACGAATCTCTGCATGATCATTTTCTAGCGTACTCATCAACATATGGTAAGCATGTTTTACATATAAATCTGAAATCCTGCACAAACAAAAGAAAAAAGTTGATTTTTCTATTGAAAGTACAGTATATAAATCAATTTAGTAATCTGGAGGAACCAATCTACAGAACGCTGCATGTAGTTGGTCTTTATCACATTAAATAGAAAGTACTTGATAATCATGATTCTTAACGATTACATGTACGCAAGGATTCACAAACATATGCCAAAAAAAAAAAAAAATAAGTAAAAGTAAAAAATATAGAAATAAAATTTGGGCCTATCCAATTCAATTGGTAGCTTCAACAATATGCATGCCCCTATGATCTTTGTCAAATATAAGGAGAGATAGTTTGTTATCTTTTGTTATTTATTTTACAGATAAACAACTAGAACTGTCATTAATTAGGGACTTTGGCCTTGCAATGATGCCAATACTAAAATCTAGGCAAGGGAGAACCATAACATCATTGAGTTCTGAATTATTTCCCTTTAAACACTAAACTGACCAATTTTCCTTCAGTGAAACAAGTAAAAGTATAAAAACCTGCAAATTTTCTTAAATTTCTTCATGACCTCCACATCAATTATTGTTTCACCAGATAGAGTTATCTTCTCAACATGTTCGGCCATCTCGTCACATAAATGATGATCTAAACAATTTAAATCCACTGCCATCTTTAGCTGTTCCCTTTAAACACAATTTTGAAGATACATGTATGACACACCATACAATTACTAATTAATGAAATGAGCAATATTGAGCAATTTTTAATAAAAGAATATTGTTTGATTTGTGGTTGACATAAGTTTCATCTTAACTGCAGCTACATATGATTTGTGGTTGACATAAGTTTCATCTTAACTGTAGCTACATATAGCCAACTTTGACAGAGCATAGAACCATGGGTTATCTGAATATAATATAATCTGAATAATGATTATACAGAATAGACTTATCCCTTCAATGCTTCATAATCCAAAATTATATTTACAGAAAAAATATTTGTGGACTAACTGAATTCTAAAATTGGGATGACAAGTTTATATGCCGACAGTGAGCAAAACATCAGCTCAGTGGAAAACATGTACATTGTACAAGTAGGCCTATAGAAATTTAACATAACATATGGTACCTTACTGAATAAAAGCATAACAATTTTTAGATTAGAATTCACTTGACTTTCATTTGAACATTTTGGAATGTGAACATGGTTACATGACACAGGAGAGAGAGAGAGGGAGAGGGAGAGAGAGAGAGAGAGATGGGGTTTAACCTCCACTCGACACGAACTAGGTTATTTCGGGACTAACACATGGTTCAATTTTATTTCAATAATTTGCTTGCGCATGCTCCGTAGGGGTCTTTAACAGTGGTACCGGTACTGTCATCTGTTTGATCATGAAATCTGTTTATTAGCTCTCTACCTGTGGAGTTAAGTTCTAAATTAAGACAGATATATAACAAAAATTCTCATGTTTCATGAATGATCAATGAAATATTCAACAAAATCAATACTTTCTTTTTTATAATGATGATGAGATATTTTTTTGACTGATATATCACCTTTTTTATTTAGTGTAGGCCTATATAAAATTGTTTAGCGACAAAAATATGACCACAAACTGCCACTAAATCCACCAAACCTTTGCTATACAAAGCATTTATACATGTTTACATGTTGCTACATTCTGGACAAACAGCCAGACCGCCAACAAACCCATTGCCATTGTTGTTAACTTTACTGTCAGCATTTATTTTAAGATTTTTGGTTGTTGTGAAATTTAAGAATAAAGTGATATGTAAAAATTGCTTCATTTCAAAAACGCGAAACGAAATATAAAGTCTTATTTTGTAAAAATTATATGCCATAACTCTGTATATTTATAATTACATAATACAACATGCCTCGCATTTATATTAAATTTTAACATAAAAACACAACATTGGTTTACATTCTCCTAACTTCATAAAAAATTCGTTCCATATATTTCTAAGGTATTAAATATTAGTTTCTCTAGAATGTAAACAACAATGGCGTCTACAAGTTGGAATCAGGAAACAAAAACTCGTTTAAATGAGAAAATAGCTGCAAATATCAACGATATTGGGTCATTAACTCGGCAAGTTGTCAGATGTTCCAAGTCGTCTGATGTAATTATATGTTTTTTTTTATATAATACAACTGTTTTCGATACGGCAGGTCCGTCATTCATTCCACACGGTAGTTTAAAGTGTGGACTCCAGCCAGGGCAGTTGTTTATAGTTTTGACTTTGTATTACCTAATGATGATACCACAATGTCCATAATCAGACAAACTCACATAGTGTGTAAAATATGGATGGACGTGAGTTACATGTAGGCCCTACTTCTTTTCTTGCCAAAAGTAATCTGGCCATATCTGATATACATGTATAGGCCTAATCAATTATAATAATTCAAGACTATTTTCAAGTTGAATTTTGCGATTCAAAAGCATTAACAAAAGAAGTTTAAATTGGTCAGCCATAAACCTGGGTTTATACTTTTTACACTACCAGCCGCCGCAAGATGACGGTGAATGGAACGTCAAAAATGGCATCAAATCTACAGTTTGCGGCGGTCAACGTATGAATGAACACAAACCAATGCGTGTTATTGAACTAGAAGAAACATGGGAGATTTTAGAGACGAAATTAACTTCTACAAATTCAGACATTGGTGTTATTACTGACCATGATGGACAGATCTGCCTACCAAAAGGTCAAAGTGGACAATGAGAAATGATCTGATCTAGTTATTAAATAATGTATTATCTATGGCATCCTCACCACAAGTATATTTATTTCTAGGGTGTTGATCATTATCATCTATGTTCAGATATACAAACATTTATATTTCTATTTCAGCTTTTATCACAAGCTGCTAAAAATTTTGCATCTCAAGAAAGCTGCATTACACACACTATGGAGGTGAGTAGGCCTAAGTGTAGAAAAAAAAACCATGTATACCCACTGATAGATGAGTTACTAATAAATATATGTATTATGAAAACCAAATATCTTGTGACTTACATCTAATTGGGTACCGGTAGAATGTTAAATGGGTACTGCAAGGCTGGACAGAAGGCATGTGCCACAGAATCTGGGTAGAAAACTTGATATGGTCCCTCATGAGGCACTGGCCCTAAGTCTACAATTAGGGCCCCTAACTTTAGTGCAAGACTCCTTTGCCAGTACTATATGAGTCATGTGCCATCCCATCCGTCATCAGTGCTGTTTTGCCAAGCCAAAAATGCTTAAAGTATAATGTAGGTGTCAACATTGTTTTTTCGACAGAAGGAGCCATGGAGGCTCAGTCAGTAATATGCTGGCTAACTAACCAGGCAGTTCTGGGTTTGATCCTGATGTTGGTCAAGAAAGTTTCTCGTGATTTTTCAGTTTAGTTCTCTCTTGTAAAATTGGTGCAGGACGGAGGGTAGTAAATTGAATATAATCCTTAATGGTGTGGATAAAGTGCATTATAAATATACATATTATTGTTATCATTATTTAAAAGTCTATTTGAAATCATGGCCATAATAATAGAATCCCATCCTAATTTGTCATTAGTTAGACCTTTATATGCCTTACAGCATACATAATACTGTAGATGTAATACTAACAATATTCACATAAAATGAATGTGAATGGAATTTCAACTAGATTTTATTTTTATATGGATCTCCTTGTAACCTTTATAGTCTTGGTACAGGCCTATTTAAAATAAGAGATTTGTACATGTAGGTACCATACAAAAAACTGGAAAACTTTAAATGCATTAAGGTTTCACAATACACAGATCCGAAAATGAACATAACGTAAGAATCAAAATGATAGCTTTTTGTTCTGTTTTTTAGAATATGAAGAAAATGGATGCAGTTAAATCCCAGCTAGAGTTCCAGTAAGTGTACTGTAACTGAAAAAATATGTTGATTAGTTATATTAATATAAGGCCAAGAATATAATAAGCTCTGAAAAAATAAAGTTATACCACTTTCTTGATATGACAAAGTAGCCATTATTTTTTTTTTTGAAAAACAGTTCTTTGGACCGGAAGTGAAAAACTATAAAAGTATTACATTATATAATTGTGTTTTCTGTGTAACATTGTAATTTCAGTGAAAAAAATAATAGATTATTTTCTTGATTTAACCCATTTTGGTTATTTTTGTTAACTTTCTAATAAATGTTTTTTTATATATTTAATTTCAGCTATTCTGGAATTGAAAGAAAGTAAGTAAATCTATTAAAGATACTACTATTATTGTGAATAAAATTTTAGTTATAGCTCTAAATAATTTGAAGAAAATCTAAATACATGTAGCCGGATTATCATGTAATCCAAGAATTAAAATTCACAATATTATTTACATTTTTGTTGTTTATTAAAAGGGCATTATGTAGGATTAGATGAAGAGCTAAAAGTTCTCGCTATAATAGTTCAAAAATAGATAATGAAATTTTAGAGGGAATATGTTATTGCCTTTAGAAGAACAGTGCAGCCTCAATTGTCATTGCTACCTTTGTTAAGATAATAAACACAGGTTCGATTTTAAAAAAGATGTGACTCTTAAATATTTATTAAAATTAGTTGTTTATGTTTATAATATAACCATAATTTTAGTTGAAGACTTTTATTTGTTAATCATAATGCTCTTTTTTAATTTTAGTTTACGATTATTAGATGATATCCAAGATCAGCTGGCTATAATACAAAGATGAAGAAATAATTCAACCTTATCTAATCACAAGAGGCATAGTGCAATTATTTTTTGAAAAGATATTTAGACCTGTGCATTTAATTTGACATCTAACTGCAGTATGTTGGGACCAGTGATGTTTAAATGTGTATTTTGTGTTTATTTCTGAAAACTAGATTAAATTATGAAGCAACAATAATACCTACCATACACTCTACTCAATCAACTCACAAATCTAATTAAAATTATTTTTTCTGTTCTTTACATTAGACTGTAATTTAACCATCTTTCTGTCATCAATATGTTCTGCTCGGAAGAATAACATTTATATAGATAACTATCCAAATTATAACACCCATTTATTTACATATACAATTTAACATGTATACCAATACCAACAATTTGATTAATCAAAATATTCAACTTCATCTGATCAGATCACGACCTTCAAACAAAATGTGTCAGATGTAAAAGCAGTACGATAAAAAAGAAAAGAAAACAGAATTAACATTTGATTTTAACCTCCTTCCATGCTACCCCTATCCCAATTCAAAAAAAGATGAATAAAATATTTATTTTTAAAAAAATCTGATTCAGTGGAAAGTTGGCTCCTGATAATTACTATAATAACCCTTTTTTATATGCCCACATGGAAACAACTTAAGTTGTGCGATCTGTATCAAATTTTCATGCTTTATTTAAATTAGTAAAACGAAGAAGCCTATTAAATTTCAGCAATTTCTGTTTATAACTTTTACAGTTATGACACTTGTTTTATTTTGTTGAAGCGTGAACATGTGACAACACTTGTGGACTGCCCAGACGATTTAGCTGCTGTGGGCATATGTTTCTTTTATTAACGAACATCAACTACCTGTACATGTAAGGATTTATTAATGCTAGAGTAGTCACAGATCATAGTTGCCATATATTTATTTGTCATAAATAAAGCTCAAAATATGTTGTATATATGGTTATTATACATTTTATTTTCTATTTATAATGAGTGGATTCTCGAAGCAGACCAATGAAGCATTGTTAGAGTAACTGACAATCCAATAGGATTTCATTTCCTGAAAAGAAAACAAAGAGTAAATGTTAAAATTAAAAACAGTTTTTCTTACAAACACAAATTATAGCTGTCTTTGCACACATTTGCATAAATGTCATCTCACTTTCGTGTAAGATTGGCTATGTGTCAGATTGGCTATGTGTCGATGCAACTGTAATAAGCTTATAACCCACTTATTTATTTATGTATATTGTGATTGTGGGGGTTTTTTTTATTGCTTTACTGTAGATGTTTGTAGAATAAATAAAGTTTATTTCACCCTTCAGTCTGCATTTCTCAGTCAAATATATGGCATTGTGATTCAAGATGATGTTTTAGCTGAACTCCCGTTACCCTAGCTAGGAGAACGTAGGTAAAAACGTTGAGATATATTGATGTGTTTGTTTTTAGTTACGACTGGATGACTTTATTTTCACCTGGCAAACTTAATGTCATTATTAATGCATGTAACGTCTTAAAAAATAAGTTAATTTTAAACTATTAGGACTAGTCAAACATACCCAGCCCAATGTAGTAAAACAACTTTCTTTTATCTTAAAATATTGTCAATAAATTTATCAAGCGGTGTTTCTAACATAATTGACAAGGTCATGTTTGCGACCTATTATAAGAAATCCTACTCTTCGCATATTTTGATTGGCTATATTGTACATGACATATTTTTAGAGCCGCCTACATGATGTGACGATGTCAAATTTAAAATGCCGGGAAAGCCAACTATTATCGATTCGATTTAAAGAGATGATTTGCACCCATGTCCGGTAGGATTATATGCTTAATTGTGGTCCAATTCTCAGAAGTTTCAGAACGGAGCTGGATGATACTTAACGGAGTCAAACTTTGTAACAACTAATTGACTGGTCATGGAAAAAAATGGGGAAAATTTACACACTATTTACCAAACTGATTGGCTATTTACGTGGCATAGTGTATCATTACTTCTAGACCCAAGGAACAGGCTTGGTGTGTCAAGGTCACCGCTTCCTTCAAAAAGCTGCCAAATTGTTCTTCACCACGACGACTGATAAAAACGAGCAGACGTCATGCTGTGTGGTTTAAGTGAGGTCGCCATTTACTCTAAATCGAATTCCAACCGTCAAGGGTCTTTTACGTTCACGCCAACGGGACGAATAGACGCCATTCCTTCACCACTGGCAGAGGGAGGCCACGTTGAAAACCCCCGAGAACCTTTGAACTAAAACCGCGGGACCTACCAGTCGGCCAGCGTCTTATTCATTTTGCAATGAATGTATCTTTGAGAAATGGTAAACGTATAGCTGCAATAGCCTATATTATAGCGGTGTCTCAGCTGGAGCCAGACGGAAAACATCAGTAGGGAACCATTTCTTGTGAAAGTATTGTAAATCCTATGCCAGTGTTGTAATCTTACCGTTAGTCAACTATAGTATAGATGTTGAGCAAAATTGGAACATTAAATGAAATGAACTGGGGTTTAACGTCCTACTTTTCTGCGCCTGAACGTTATGTTTTCTTATTATTGAATTATTTTCCTTACATTCTAATAAGCCATTATTATAAAATTTAATTTATATAAAGGAATATGGTGAATTTCCGCCCCACTCTGTTCGATGTGTGCGCTTATAGATATGGCTCTTTTAGCCAAATTTGTAATTTATGTAGATCTCGGGAAGGGAGAGTGCGGGAGGGGAGGGGGCATATTCTGGTCTTGTCTGCCACACTCGTACAAACTGCATTTGTGTCATTATCGTAGATTTATTTGGCACAAACACAAATGACATGCAACATATGGTAATGTACAGTTTCGGAACTAATTTGAGGACCCCTTTAATATTGGGGTCCTTGGCTACAAGCCAGCCCCTTACCGCTCAATCCGGCCCTTTATGTAGATGCACTCTAATACTAAGCTGACCATCCATTTTATTTCCCTTTACAGTCATACAGTACATCAAATGTGCTCTCTTACGTTAACAGGGCTTTATTCTAAAATATCTTGGCATGTTCAACACGGATTGAAAACCCAACTAAAAGGATGCGGCGGAAGTTGTGATCATAGTGTACATATTAGGGGTCATATAGGTAATTTGTTTTCTCTGCAAAACGTTGAATAGTCAATAAAATCTGGGCCCACCAGTTTTTGGATGATGTAAAGAGATTTCCCCGAATTCTTCAATGCATGATTGTTGTTCGGAGTAGAACAGTAGGACGTTAAACCCCATTTCACATTTCGGACAGGAATAAATAAATAAATATGATAGAAATCTTTAAGCTCTTTCGTTTTTACTTCGTCATTTGGGGAATTTCATTTGTAGTATAACAAAAACATAATTATTTCATCACAGCAATTTTCAACATCTACTTTTTGAATACGTCTGGTGCTATTATATATTTTTCTTTTCGTGTCTTTGCCCCTCGTCAGTTATCTACGTTATTGTGGTTGTGTAAAACACATAAGAATAATATAATTGATGGTTCAACTTTGATATTCAGTATATACACGGATTACATTATATTAATATCCGCCACATTTTTTACCTCTTTCATTTTACAGTTGTCTCTACAATTCTATTCAATGCGTTTCATAGCATGGGTATAAAATAATTAGACTTAACAGAACATTAAGGATTATAGATAAATGTGTTCTCCAAAACCATTTGAAAGAATAATGGCACCAAGACGTCTCTGAAATGAGTGACATCGGAAAAGTTAACATTTTGCTATATAGATAAAAAAAAAAGAATGCCGTTTAACATCATCGATTCATACTGATAGGCGATAGCCTAATATTAATGAAATTACATGAAATGACGTTTAACGTTTAACGTTCTACTGTTTCGCTCAGACTGGGCTAATGAAGACGGGGAATATTAATAAAGCCTAGAAACTGGTGTGGCTCTTTAGAGATGTGACTAATAATTAACTTGTAATACATAATCGGGAAACGAATTTTATTTCAAAATTTAAATCATAACATAAAATCAAATCAAATCTACACTTTCGGCCCAAGATAAAGAGCCCGTTGCAATTTAACTTTAATTCGAGTTAATGTAAGTGAAAAAGGCTCTAAATAAACATAATTGAAGTATTGTCAGCTTGTACAATTCTATTTCTGTTGCATTAGGCAAAACATGAACAACTCAGTTGTATTAATCAAATCGCATTTCGGTCAAAACCAGTTTGAACTATTGAATGAGTAGTCCATTATATTTGTTAATGGGGTGATATGACATGCAACAAGTGGGAAGTTTGAAACCTTTACAGCCATTCGGCATCTCTGCTTTTCTTAACGACGTTAAATCGGGGTCCCTTTAAGGTGAAAGTAAAGTATTAGCTTAAACTAACTGAAATAACAAACGCATCATGTCAACCAGCTGATTTCACAAGTTTAACGGGCAGCTGGGCGATATAATTCCGACGTGTTTGGATTTATACTCGGATATCATGCGGACGGAAGAGTTAGCGAAGGAAGCAGGAACGG